AAAAATTGAACTAAAATAGAGATACTTCTGGGTGTTTTTCTGGGACAGTGCCTGATTCCTGAGACATTGTTTTATGATAGTTTTGAGATAAGCCTAAAATCCATACACATATTTATACATTTATACACAATACATATTTCACTTATTTCTTTTTTTTTCATTAGTTAGGACTCAATCACAAGATAACACCAGCCATAGGAGGGCGAAAGCTAGCACAGGCTTCCTCCGAGACCTGTGAAGTTCCACCACATCTTTTTGAACTGCCACTAATGCCACTTTTGACATCTGAATGCGCTCAGAGGAGAGAGCAAACCGCCAGTTCTGTTACGTCAGCTAACAGATGTCTGCACTGGCTAGCACTGCGCTGGGTGATAAGGGGAGACGGGGGCCATCTTACCCATCCAGAGGGAGAAGGCCAGTTGTGTTTTCTTGGACTCAAGACTACAGAATATTGCACTTATTTTTGTCTTAATTAATGCATTAAAATTAAATAAATTTTCTTTTTAATGTGGCACTGCAGTTTGCATTCATTTTGTGGAACAGTCCATGTATAAAACTTGTGTAGGTTCACTGATTGTTTTGGAGAGGAATACAATAGCTATATTTACATTATATACATCACAACTCCGGGTTCCTATCACCACTGTAAGCACCACTGTAAAGAAATCAGTAAATTTATGAAGAGTGTATAAGTTTCTCTACACTGCACAATTTCATATCAAACCATTCAGAATCACTTTTTTCACATCTCAGTGATTGAATTATGCAGACATTTTGAAAAATCAGTGGATTTTCCCTCTAAAGAATGATCAAGGTGGAAAATATGAAAGTCATTCTGCATGACAAACATAAAGATGCAGGAATTTTTCTTCCAAGAGATGTTGAATATCTAACACAATTACTTGTAAAGAACACAGGGATGCTTTCATGATTTGTTAAAAAACTTTCTGCCTCTATGATGCTTGAGACCTTGATTTACAATAGTTTTGAGTAACTAGGTTAGGTTTTCACCTAAAATATATTTTTTTAAAAGCCCATTTATGGTGGAGAGGTGTTGTAGGGTAAAGTGGTACCCAATGAAAAAATATTTTTTCAGATTTACCACTATTTTACCTTTATGAGCGTTTCACATAAAACGCAGAAGACGTGTAGGTGGGGTGAGCAATATGACAATTCAGCTTCATTGTGATAATATGTCACAATATGCTTTTCCGATCACATTGTGGATATTGTTAGTGCTTGAAACATTGACCAACAGCATGTTTGTGTACAGAGAATGTATAATTAGTCTTGTGGCCAAACAGCTCTATCTTTGACTCACCTGTCCACAGAACATTGCTCCAGAAGTCCTGGTCCTTCCCTAGATATTCATTAGCAAACTTCAGTCTTGCCCTGATGTTCTTTATAGACAGCAAATGCTTCCCCCGGGGCACGTCCCATGTAGATAAATGGGCTTTTCTGATTGTAGATGCATGGTCCTGTCTTTTTCTGATTAGATTTAGTGCAGCGCTGTGTATGAAAAGTGCAAAAGTGCATTGTATTAATAAATTTTAATAGAACTTATGGCATTAGTTTATGTGTTCAAACTTAACAGATGTTGGAAACAAATAAATACAGTGGTATACTGTGCATCATGAAAATTTCTTGACGTATTGTAAGATTACATTTTTGCCATATCGCCCAGCTCTACGTGGAGGTTCACTGGTTGCTTTGGCTATGTTTATGTTGCGACACCTGGTTTCCATCAGCACAACTGTAAAAAAATGTGAGTCAATAAATTTTTCTACAATAAACCATTTCACATCAAAAGACTCTTGATGTTCCCATAATCCTTGAAATACTGAATCTATGAATTCCGGTTTACTGTATAATTTAGCATACTAACATAAGTTATCACTGTATACAGAATGTAAGTTATAATACGTAAGTTATCACTGTATACAGAATAACAAGAATTATTAACATGATAAGTGATTCCAAGCAGAAAATTTGATCTGAGTCTCCAATAAAACACAGGTGACATAAAGAGTTCAGCATTTTGGATGATGTTATTCAGGCACGGTTAGCTATGAATAATCTCTCTCACACACTGACCATTATCTTTCTTCATTTACGTACAGACCACTCTCTAACCGTTCAGCCAACTGAAATGCAAATCAGTATAAGTCTGAAGTTGGTACTCGAGCCTGCATGCAGGCGGCTTATCAAACAGTGCTACACTAGTGACCTGTAGAATTTCCCCCTCATGCTCGCCTGGTCAGCGTTTGCATGCTGCCCTTCCTCATTTCCGGCTTGCAAATGCAGACCCATGGGCTCTGTGTGAGTTTCTGTAGGATGATTTGCCACCGTCAAGCTTCATTTCTGGAAAATAATGATTTGAATATGATGAATCTGTGCAGGATCAGCTTTGAAATCTGCTCTACTTAGTTCATGCCGCACTGAGGTCCATCCCTATGAAAAATGCTACACAGTCTATACATCCCCTCTAAAAAGAATCACAGAAACCATTAAAATTATTTTATGTTTTCTTGATGGGTTGATATCACAGTGTAAAGGATTCTAATGGTTTAACAGGTGTTCAGAGACTGGATGGCTGTAATGGTCTATTTTTCACGAGGAATATAAAACATGTACATTGTGCTTATTTCTGTTACTATATGCTTTAGGACTCCTGCTCACCTTATTAGAAGAATGTCTGAAGAATTCTTATTTTGTCAAATGAAAATCCCCCCACAGCATGTTAATGGTATTCATATCTAGGCTTTGATTAGGCCGTTCCACAACCATCCATTTCTTCCTTTGTAGCCATTCCTTAGTGGATTTACTTGTATGTTTGGGATCTTTCCTTTTTGAAGATCCACTTTTTCAGCTTCAACTTTTTACACTTGGTGTGAGGTTCTTCTGATCAAATGCTGTCTTTGTTGCCAAACATGGCTTCTGTCTCTGTGGCCAAACAGCTCTATCTTTGACTCACCTGCCCATAGAACATCTGATTGTAGATGCATGTACTTTTACACCAACAGTGGGAAGAGCTACCTGCTGATCCTGTAATGAAATTTTGGGGTTCTTAGAGACTTCTTTTAGCGTCTTACAGTCTGCTTTCAGGTTAAATTTGCTGAGGCAGCCTGGCCTGGACAAGTTGGCAAGAGTTTTAAACTTTCTCCACTTGTAGATGATCTTCCAGACAGTAGAATGATTGATTTCCAATATTTTGGATAGCTTCTTAAACCTCTTCTCAGACCCATAGGCATTATATCATCTTTATCTATCAACACTGTTTAAATGAAGATATATCTTTCTCCAGATATGTTGAAAATGTTTCAACCTTTTATGAGGTGTACTTTCTATTCAATGAACCAATATATTAAAAAGGCCTGTTCACTGTATTCCTAATCAGTTTTTTTTTATGTCATTTGGACTGGTTTGGTGTGAAATGCTCCACTCAAGTGAAACTTACTGAGTCAGAATTGTTCACAGTGTTCGTGATAGGAACCAGACGTCAAAAGAGTTTCATCTCTCTAAAAACTCCCTCTCAGAAAGTTATTTCATGAAATGGTACACAGTCTCAAGTCTCACACATTGTTTTACAATGGATTTGAGACGGTTTTGGCCTAAAATGTATTTGTATAATACATGGCAGAAAGGTAAATTAACACATGGGCTATAAAAACTTAGAAGACACAAGTACGTTCTCTAGTCTCTATGGATAGTAAATAAAATGCCTACATTTGCCACATTGTGACTCCTGACTCCTATCACTACTGCTCTAAATTAAATCTGTAGCTAAGCTCTACTTCAACACATATGACAGATTGGAAGTGGGCAGAACAAGGATAAAGTAGCTTGAAAAGATCTACAAATGCAACGATTTGTCTCTACAAAGATCAGAACTGTCCAGTCTATGATCTTCTCTGTGGTTCTTTATGGATGTAAAACTTGGAATATAAAAAAGTGAGACAGGAAAAAGATGCCTTTGAACTGTGTTGGCAAAGACTTTTGAGAGTACCTTTGATGGCAAAGAAAACGAACAAATGGATCCTCAATCAAATCAAGCCTTTTCTCTTACTCAGAGCCCACATAGACAATTCATTGGAAAAAAAGACAACTATTCTTAGATTAGTTTAAGATAAAACAGGAAAAGGAGATCCTCTACAACACACCATTTCACATCAAAACACTCTGAATGACTTTGTTCGCATCTCAAATGTGGAATTAAGTAGAAATTTTGAAAAATCAGCGGAATGCTCTTTAAAGGATTATGAAGACCTTATTTTGTTCAACAAACAAGCATGCACGTGTTTTTCTTCCAACATAGAAAATAGCCCACCTAACACACATATTTATAAAGAAATACAAGGATGTCTTGACAATTTGATTGACAGCTTGCTGCCTCCACGCCCAAGCCCGAAATGAATCACTGAAGGCCACTGAATCATTCAGGATTTAATTTACAGATTTAATTCTTTGAAACTGACTATTGTGGCGGTAAAGTGCATCACTGCCATCTAGTGGACACAAGTATTGAACATGAATGAAACAATGTCCACTTTCTACACATTTGGCACATTTAACAATGATACGCTTGATTCGTATGATACATTTAATCATACGCAAAGAAAGCGCACATGTACCAGCGCCTTTTAGAATAATTATAAGACAAATGAGTGAATGGACAAGTCTGAGGATTAAACTGTGACCCGGAAAAGTTCACGTTTCAGTCTGTGCTGACGCGACCACAAGGCTGCGCTCCAATACATGAACCGCTATTCTAACTTGAAGGCTTAGCTAGTGCGTAAAGTCCTGGCCGCGTGTCAGAGCATTTACTTGTGTTCTAACAGGAACACTAATAGCTAGTGGGTGTAAATAACTCAACATGTAGTTAGTTACAGCTAGAAACTCTTAAAGCGTACATGCTGAACGCTGAATTTTATGCACTAGCCAAGTGTTCTAGTTAGAGTACAAGTGTGTGCATTGGAGCACAGCCACAGTTAGAACGGTTCAAAGTGCTGCACAACAGGGAAGCGGAGAACTTGTAGTGTGGATGTTCGCGTGCTGCCCGCGGCGAATGAATGTAGTTATTGTACGGAGTATTTACCAAGCCAAAGAATTTGAAAGGATGAAGTCAATAACGTTTCTCTCTAGAAACAGATATTTTCTTGTTGCAGCTTTAAGTATGGTGATGGTTCGCGCCTCGTATTGTAAGCTTACGAAACCAGCTATACCAGCCATTGCAACTTACTTTGGGACAAAATGCAGATATGAGGAGGTGAACCCACATTTAATGGACAATATTTTATTTGTGAATAAGTCTCTTATGGGACCCCCATCCCCTGACTGCCGTGCAGTCCACCTGGTAGCGGTAATCAGACACGGGACGCGCTACCCTACAATCAAAAACATTAAAAAGATGGCACGACTTTATGATCTGGTCAAGGCTGAGGCCACAGGTCCTGACTGGTGGCTGGATGACATTAGAAGTAAATGGAGGATGTGGTACACGGAGGACATGGACGGTAAACTGGTGGAGAAAGGCAAAAACGACCTCAGACATCTGGCTGTCAGGTTGGCCGAGACGTTTCCAAGCCTGATTTCTGAGGGAAATCTTCGCGGCGACCTCATGGAGTTCATAACCAGCTCTAAGCACAGATGTGTGGACAGTATCAAGGCTTTCCAAGAGGGACTTCTCCAACACTGGGATGTGCGAGGTTATATTACCCCATTTCATAGGCTACTCTCAAACACACATAGTCCACTAAAAGGGAAATTTCACCGATTTGTCAACATTTCTGCTTAATTAAATCTATAAAATGTTAACAAATTCATTCAGAGTGGTTTGATGTGAAACTTCAGAATTCAGAGTCAGAATTGTTCACAGTGATGGTGATAGGAACCAGACATCCAAAGTCTTTAATGCCTTTAATTTTATAAACTAGTCATAAATACACTAAATCTGATTCACCACATGTGTGTGTGTGTGTGTGTGTGTGTGTGTGTGTGTGTGTGTGTGTATAATGTTGGCAGTTTTTATTCACCACACTAGTTGAAAGGAACACACAGAGCACTGTAACAATGGGGGAGGTCACCATTACTCCCTGCTTCACACCAACCCCCAACACAAATACCCACACAATAGCCCTACTCCCCGACATAGACAACACAACAAATGCATATACACGAAACTAACAACAACCAACACTGAACAACACAACAAGCCCCTTTGTCGGAGGACACGCCCACACATGAGCCTTTGTGTGTGGCAATCTGCATAGCCACACTATATACCTTTTTAAACAGTTTACCATTATCAACACTAATAAAACCTTGTAGTTTTCCTGGGCATTTGTAAGTAAATAAAATGTCTGTATTTGCGTGGTAAACATTGGGACCCTTGGTTTCTATCATCACCAATGTAAAAGAATATTTGAGTCTGTGTGTCTCTCTACAATGCACCATTTCACACCAAACTAACCTTAGTCACAACAATTGAATGATGCGGGAATTTTGAAAAATTGGCAGAATTCCCCTTTTATTATATATAGTATATGTCTAAAAGTTCGCTCATCCAACATTTCCTCTAAAGTTAAGGGTGTTAATAGAGATTAATAGCCTCTGCCCTTCTGGGAAGACTTTACACCATATGCTTGTACATTGCTGTAAGGATTTGACTGCAGTTAGCCACAAGAGAATTAGTGAGGTCAAGTATTGATGCTGGATGATTAGTTCTGGATCACAAACTCCACTCCAACTCATCCCAAATATATTAGATGACGTTCCCTCACTTCAGAGAATGCAGTGCCACTGCTCCATGGCCTTCTAGTCAACATTTGGCATTGGGTATAGTGACCTCAGGCTCATGTGTGGCTGCTCTAGAGCATCTCATTCTACTGGCAATACTTTTCTATGGAGATTATACAGGTTGTGTGTGCGCAATTGAGCAGCTGTGTCAGCACTGGGTGCACTGTAATCAATCTTATTGTCATGTTTCAGTAAGCGGTACAGTAGTCTACAATCATACTTTAAATAATGGCTCAAGTATAAAAGTAGCAGCTTGAGTATAAAAAGTATCAGGTCTAAAAACTCCTTGTGTACTGCAGTGGAACTTTCAGCATTTATAGGCATAGGACCTGTAATTTGAGCACTATTCTTCTATTCTGGTTCAAAATAAAATGCTAGTGAGAAGTGTGAGCAACAACAAAGCAGACTAGGTGTTTAACCAACAGAAAAACACAAGAAGGAAACAGTATCAAAACCTAAATTACCAAAATGGAGCTGAGGAGTAACTAAATTCATTTCCTCACAAACAAATACTCTGAAAAATACACATTTATCATGTTTTACTTTAATACATGGAACTGAGCAACTTCTGAACATTTCTCATCTAATTATATCTAACTGTGTCTTTATAGGTGTGGGTTTCAAACACTATGTGAACGATTCGCTGATGAGATTCTTCGATCAGTGCCAAAGATATGTTGAAGATGTTGAGAACAATAAGACTGCTTTAAAGGAGGTCGAAGTTTTTAAATCGTCTGAGGAGATGGAAGAAGTCCGGAGGAGGATGGCCAGTCGCTTGCAGATTCCACTCAGCCAAATAACATCAGGTTTTTTTTTTTTTATTAACTTAAATGGCCAGCTAAATTCACCAGCTGGTCCAAACATTTATTACAGACCCTTATAACCTTGGACTTAAAGGGGTTTAATCACTAAATGACAACACTGGACTGGAGTTAAAAAGTAGGCTGCTGTCCCTGAGTGGGTTCTGTTATTATACATAGTCTGTAATTTCAAACTGAAGCAAACATGTCTTCTCTCATATGATATCAGTATAATGGTTGTAAATTTTTAATATATAGACATAGATATTATGGTTATATTGTCAGTCTAATGATTCTAACAATACTGTCCTTTACGTTTGTCACAGATTTGGTTGAGGCAGCTTTCTTTCTGTGCTCCTATGAGTTTGCAATCAAGTCTGAGAATTCTCCATGGTGCAATCTGCTGGACGAAGTGGATGCTGAAGTATGCACTTTCTACACTCTAGCTCTGATTTAATGTCTTTGTTAATATCGCAATATTAAGCTTGAAGAGTTTGGAAAGTGTTCGGTTTTGTTTGTGGCCAATTTTGTGAATTCACAGGGCTGTCCACTCCTTTTTATAATTTACTGGCAAGGGTCCTACTTTAGAAAGAGTAGCTTTAATGACTGTTTATAATGTAACAAAATTTAATGTGAATCAGAAATCATAAAGAATAATAACTTTTTCCATACTTAGTGAAACCCTGTATCAGCGAGGGTCTCTGAGCATTTCACTCGATGATAGGTGAGGGTGGTGGGAGCATAATATTATAAATATTAATTTCCCCTTCCCCATGATGACATAATCAAAAATAAGAAAATGTTTTTTTCAGGAAAGGAGGCAGGAAAAAAGTAATTTTGATGGAAGATTACAGGAAAACAATAATCTTTTAAATGCTACAATAAATCATGATTAATATGACAAGGCATATGAACTAACTTGGTTAAAAAGTTTAATTTGGATTTCAGGTTGATTTTATTGTTTGATTAATTACTGGGTTATAAAGACATTTTTGCTTTTTTTAACCTTTTTAAGGTGCTAGAATATAAAAATGATCTGAAACAGTACTGGAAAAGGGGATATGGCCATGACATCAACCGCAAATCAAGTTGTTCCCTTTTCCATGACCTCTTCAGGAGACTCGACCAAGCTTCATATGACTACAGGTAAAACAGGTTCAGCTGAACTTTAGACCTACCAGGGCTTATATTTGATGAGCTGATGCGCTCACTGTTTTTTTTTTTAAGAAAGTCATAGGCTAAAAACTAGTTTCATGTTGTGAGTTGCCTGCAACATAATTTCAATAATTTGCACGCAACACATGCAATTGCTCTACTAGATGAGTCAAATTAGCATTTCATATTTAACTATACAGTAATCCGCATGGTGTTATTTACATATTTGCAGTATTTTTATCATCTTCACATATTTCTTTGTTGCTATTCTTGTTCTTTTCTATCTATCTATGGCTCTTTCCTGTACATTTGACTTTTAAATCTGTTCTGTGTATGCTGAGCCTTTGAAAATTAATGTTTAAATAGCAATTATGGTTATTGCCTACTTAAACACTACTATTTAAATAGCTGTTACTGTTAGCTGGCTAGCTAATGCAGCCATTTACAGAAATGTTAACTTTGATGGGGGTGTGGGGTTTTCCTTTTCAACCACCCAATGAACCATCTTCTGTTTTATTTTATTTTCCACTGACCTAGTGAAAATGATGGTTTGAAAGTATGTTGTTCGATGTGATCACATTATGCATTACTGGCATTTTGACTGGCTGTTTCATGAAACTTGTTTCGCAAAGTTGAGACACTTGCAACTGTTGCGGCAGAGTTTCAAATGCATAGTGGGATGCTTTACGTTATGCAGCTCAAGTGCAATTTAGTTTCATGTAGGTTTTTGGCAATAATCCTCAGACCTTACCACGTAATGTGCTGGACACAACTTCCCTATTTCTTGATGACTTCCTGATGATAGGATAAGTATAATGAAACAAGACTTTATCTTCTACAGTACCTTTCAAAAGATCACCATGTTACATGTGTCGCCATGCACCATGAAGATAAATACACAATCACTGTATTAATGATCAAGTAAGCAGAATTATAAAAAGCACACACAATTAAAAATGACTTTCATGAAAAATAACAAACAATACAGAGCCTTTCAAGGTTTCCAAAGGACTTTGTTGGAAAAAGACAAATGTGGCTTAAAATGCTTAGAAATGGGGGTGTTCATCAGGCTCCAGTAGGAGAGCTTAAAATATGCTTTATCATCATTACATAATTGCTAATTCATTAACGAGGAAAATTTGAATCCCTGATGAATCCAGAATAAGCATTACAAGCCCATAGCTAACACACTATCCCACAAATGCTTTATGTTGTATACCAACCAAGACTAGAATATTATATTATGTTTACTTTATGACGACTGACTCTGTGGTTACTGTCTCCTTAGCAACCTGTCAGACCAGTTAGAGAAGTTGTGGAACATTATACCTGCTATTTGACAGATTGATCAGCCTTGTCTTTGTTTGTCTTTTACGTCACAAAACGATAAAAAAATAAGGGCACTGAAGGGCAGCGGTCCTAAGGCTACATGGCCCCTACATATCCCTTAAATGACAACTAACAAACATTTATAAAGGCTTCTTCCTAAAAAAGCAGTTGTCACAAAGGCTGCTTTTGTCAGTTTTGCTGCCTCAGAAAGTGGTATGACGCTGGAATAATCCTTTATAAATGTTTATGCAGGTTTACATTAGTTGTCATGAAAAGCTAGGTTGTTGTGTAGTCCTATGAATGCTGCAGTAAAGTGTTACAAGAACCTTTTCAGTGAAGCAGTTTTAAAGACCCATCCATTGGGTGGTTCTTTTGGGAACCGACACAATTCTTCTATGAGCAAAGAAAGCTTTATTTTAAAAATGCCTGAAAACCATCAATTGTTTGTCCTTGTTAATTGGTCAGGTTTGGAGAAGTGACCAAGGCAGTCAGCATCCAGGTTGGCCATGCTGAGACTCTACTGCCTCTACTCTCTCTGATGGGTTTCTTCAGAGATGAAACACCACTAACTGCGGAGAACTTCTCACAGCAGCACAACCGCAAGTTCCGCACCAGTTGGATTGTGCCTTACGCAGCAAACCTGCTGTTTGTCTTGTACGAGTGCAGCGATGGATTGCGACTCCAGTTCTTTATCAACGAGAAGCCGATGTCTTTTCCCAACATAAATCACTCAGCTCCACTGTATGAAACAGTCAGAAACCACTTCTCTGACCTCCTGGATGGCTGTGATTTTAAGAAGGAATGTGAGCTTCCCACAGTTAAACCCATGAAGACTGAACTATGACTTAGATACAGAGGGTGGGTGTGGCACAGAGAATGAAGGAATCACTGGGGGGCTGTACTGTAAGTGGACCAGAATGAAAAAAACATTTTCCCTCACTGGTTTATGTACTTTTAATGCTGTTAAATAGTCTTTTTACCTCACAAGTGAAACAGTCCAAATGAGATGTGTGGTTTATCTGTACTTTTTTTCTTTATTTAAAAGTGTCACAGTGTGATTCCCAACTTTTGTTGATTTGCCAAATTGAAGAAGATTTCTGATTGTAGGGTACCAAATATTCTTTTTCAAGTGACTATGAGGCCTTTTTGGAAAGTATATTTCTTTATTGATGTGTTCTATATATGTGTAGAAAAATTAAAAGATTCTTGCCAAAAACTAGGATGTTTGATTTTGAGTTTGATGTTTAATCCTGCTCAAAGCTTTATTTGCATTTATTATTTATTAAAATTGTCCACACCCTCTTAACGTTGGGTTTAGATATTTGACAAACACAAATAAAAGCAATACCAGTTGAATACATTTTACTCTCTTGAGGGTTCATGAAAAATTTGCATTGTTAATGTTAGACACGTCTAACTCATGTTGTGAATGCATATATAAAACTTGGGTTCTAAACTCCAATACCAAGAACTGTTTTATTTCATCTTTCCCAAAGATTAAAGGAGATCTTAACTCCTAATACGTTCTTTAAACCTGAGAAAAGTCCATTTTTTTTTACTGTTTACTTAACTGTTTTGAGAAGACATGGTTCATCCTCGCCAAACATCTTTCGATACACTTGCAAAACATCTAACACACTGTGAAATCTGCAGACACTTCTATGCCAGACAGGGTTCGGTGGTCTACCTCTTCGTGTTTGAGCTGTTGTTGCTCCTAGACACTTTAATTTCACAATAATAGCACTTACGGTTGACTAGGGCAGATCTAGCAGAACAACAGTTTTGCAAACCGACTTGTGGCGAAGGAGGGATCCTATGACAGTGACATGTTTAAAGTCACTGAGTTCTTCAGTATGACCCATTCTACTGCCAGTGTTCATTAATGGAGATGTATGGCTGTGTGCTTTATTTTATTAACCTGTTAGCAATGGGTGTGTCTGAAACATCTGAACTCAGTAATTAGGAGGATTGTCCACATACTTTTGGCTATATATTGTATAAGGAGGAAAGAACTGTGCTTACAATTAGACATAAATATATATTTCTTAAACTAATAAAATAAGAACGGTTGTTTTAATTGTGCTCAGACGTTTTCAGTCCTACTGAAAGTGTAGCTCATGCTGGTGTCTGTGTTCACCACGAACACGGCTGCCAGAGAAGCTGAAATAGTGTAGCAACATTTGTAACCTACTTTAAATGTGGCTGATTCGCTGCTGAATACCTAAACAGTGCTGAATGGTGGAAATGCCATATTTGAAGTTGTCTGAAAAGGCCTGCGTTCTTCACAGCGCTCTCCATTGTAACCGCAGCACTGAGCAGCTGATAGTGACTTTTTGTCCTTGTATTTGTGTGTGTGAGGAGATTTTGTGTGTTTTGTCACCGGCTTTAGTGGGAGGTCGTCGCTCTGACGTGTGAGGAGGGCCTTTCGGAGGACTGCAGGAAGAAAAGTTTCTGTGCTACGTGTCCAAGCTTTTTTCTCCTCCGTCTCCTCCATTCACTGCCATTTACTCTCAGCCTCCTCCAGCCTGAAGGTTGTTGATACTCGACCTAAACGCAGAGCCGTGGCAACCATGTCTGGGACCAAGAAGCAGAAAACGGTGAGAACTCGGTCGGAAACTGTGAGTGTTTCTGTTGTTTTCTGTAGTTTTATCCTTTTAGAGACAGACTATGTGCTGCAGATGAAAGAAAAGTTGAACGCGAAGAGATACTCGAGAGGAAAAGTGCGAGTCCCGGAGAGTTTCTGTCGAGTAGAAGTTTTGTTCTGAAGTCAGTCAGTCAGTCAGCTGCTGCTGCTGCTGCTGCGGGACTGAGAACTGTAAAACCGAAAGGGTTTCTTTTCGCGACACAGATGAAACCGACTGAACTCGGTCACAGTGTCGGTCTTTATTTCTGTTTCCTCCGATCGTCTGTGATTTCTGCGTTTACGGATGTGGAATAACGTCACGATGAAACGATCCTGTAGTTCTGAGTTTTACTTCAGGCAGTAAAGTTACAGTTAAAGGGGAACTCCACCGACTTTTAAGAAATGCAACATAATTAAGTCGTTAAGGTGTAAACAAAGTCGTACAGAGTGGTTTGATGTGAAATGCTCCGTTTGTAGAGAAACTTGTCTAGGCAGAATTGTTCACAGCGGTAGTGATAGGAACCAGACGTCTGAAGAGTTTAATGCCTCTGAAAGGACTCACATTTGCAATGTTTTTGGCTGAAAATATATTTTAATCCATTCACGGTGGAGGAGTACATGCAGGACATTGTGAGGCAACATAGTCCCCAAAGAAAACTTTTTTTTTCCAGATTTTCTGTTATTTTAACATCATCAACGTTACATATAAAACTCAGAAAACGTGTAGATTCACTAGTGGTTGTGGGTATTAAATAAAATGACTGTATTTGTGTTGTAGACGTGGCGGCCTGGTTCCCATCACCACCACTATAGAGAAATCTGAGTCTCCAAATTTCCCTGCAATGAACCATTTCACATCAAACCATTTTCAAGGACTGAATTCTTTAGAAATGTTAAAAAAAATGGTGGATTTCCTCTTTAGGTTTCTGTTTTGCGTCAGGCAGCTCATAGATTGCTTCATAATTTGTGTGATGTTGAGCCCCAGACTTATTTCTACTTTAGACCAACAGTCACAGTGTTGTATAGTACAGGTACTGAAAAGGGGAGAATATAGGGGCACTTTTTTTTCTTTATTAGTCCACTCTATAACGTCTTTGTTTATACACCCTCATGGATTTAATGTATTCATGGTTTTCTGTGTCTTTTCTGAGTCCTCAGTGGTGTCTTATTAACTCTTAGGAGAGCAATCTTACAATAGAATCACTGTGATTCTCTCTCTCTCTCTTTCTCTCTCGCTCTATCTCACTTCTCTGGTACCAGCCCAACATTTCCATCACTTAACACTCTGTGTAGAAGGTCTCTGCAGTTAGATCTGCCAGTTTTTTCCTGATCTGCCACACGGTTTCATGTTATGCGCATCTAAGCTAGTTGTGATGTTGGTGTGCTCTGTATGAAACAGGCATTTTACTGTAGGGAAAGAAGCAGGACACTGTATGGGAATCAAAAGAACTCCTGACGGACGTTGAACCTGCGAAGGAAAGAGATGGAGGGAGGGTGAAAGACTGAGGGAAATATGGCCGTGCTCCAGAAAGCAGTTCCAGTTTGGCCACCTCGCCGCTGGTCAGCATGAATGATCCTGTTTGTTTCGCCCGTCCACCCAGAGGCCCCTCCCTTGTGTCTCATACTTTGTGGTAGCCGTGCTGACTGGAGAATATTCACTGGAGCTTTTGGAGTCATGAGTAGTGGTAACCCAGCCAGTCTGGATGGTTTAAATTCAGAGCAGACCACACCTTCAGTTAATCAGTTAACGTTTGAGGAGTGAATGCAGAAATGTAGAAGGACGAAAGAACTCAGAGGCCTTGGGCTGAAGTTTCTAGGCTTCTGTTTTGGTCTAGACAGCCAGAAGATCTTGCTGAAGACTTGGAGTGTAGAAAAAAATATATAAGATGATTTGCCAAAAAAAAAAAAAGAAAGGGCAGAATGGTAGTTAAGAGATGGGAGTGTGTAAAAGGAATGAGGTTTCAGTGATGGTCTTTCTCCTAAACGTCAGTAATTTCATAATTTCATATTTGGATATGACCACTGAGCTGACTGAGTTTTTAGGAAGTCTCTGAACTAGATGAGTATTTTTGCTCAATGATAGGTGGGTGTGGTGGGTGTGGGAGGTGAAACATGACATTAAAAAATATTGGTTAATATTTTTTTAAATCTTTTTTTTCCCTAGTGCACGGTGATGTCATTAAAAATCAGATGTTTTTGAGGTGGACAAAAGTCACTATACGTCGATCAAAAATTACAGCAAAACAAGAGTTTTGTCATTAAAATGGTGTGGTATGATGAATTGTGCTAAACATGACCAGTATCATGAACTAATGAGGTAATAAAAGGTACATTTTCAGTTCAGGCTGACTTTAAAGGCTCCTTATCCTTTTTCAATAAAATGTTTGGAAATCTTTCTAAGGCTGAACATGATATATTATTCTTATTTCGTTTTTTTTAAACTGTTTGGCCTTTTTAAATAGCTGATTACTCGACTACTCATCAAAATAATTGGTAGATTGCTAACATTGGTAGATTGCTAATATTGGTAGTGCTGACTATACTTCAAAAGCTGATAACCAGAAACAAGAAAACACTGTAAAACAACAATAAACAATCCCAACCCTGTGCATTTGATCAATGGAGTTGGAAGCATCTAACAATTAATACCACTGCTAGATTAGCCAACTGTACTAGCTGTTTTGCAGAGGACTGTAATATCACCCAAGCATATCAGCTAGGGGGGGGGTACAGCTTTCCCCAAACATTACTTATTACATAACTTTGTTTGCAGAGCAGGTTACAGCACTGTTTGCTGTTCTTTATTCGTAGGTCAGAGTTATGCAGACAATAGTGCTGATGTATGCTGATACGTGCCCATAACCTTGTGAGTAGTGGTGTACCTGTTGTAATGGTGCCAAAATGTGAATGCAGTGACATGGCTTAAATAATGAATGTTGGCACTTTTCCAACACAGGAATTTCCTGTTGTGTAATTTATGAAAACATTTGGAAGAGAAGGCCAGTTTCTACTCTGGAGTCAGATTGTTAACAAAGGGTGGAAAAATGGTCTTTCAACTGGTGATTCAACTGCATTGGTTCTGGGATGCTATAATTCAGTATAATATTATTCTCAGGCTATTAACAAACAAAAAAATCCAAATAAGTATTCTGAATGATACCAAAAGAGTCAAATTGTGATGATATTTGAGATTTCATGATGCATTAAATCATTTCTTAAAGAAACGTAATCAAATCAAGTAGATGTGAAGTCAGATTTACAATGAAGGAGAAATGATAATAAAATACGATAAGGTGACTACAAACAAAAATAAACAGTTAAACAGACAACAGCATACATGGCCCTTAAACCTCAAATTAACAGTAGCAAAAATCTTGAAAAACAGTAGGCACAAATACAGTACAGTGGATGGGTCAGCTGAGTTTTCTTTTCTCTGCGATCCAGTATCGGTTGCCATCAGGTCTATCAGATGGAATGCTCTAAGTGGAGCACATTAACAAAATCTCTGATCCATGTTTCAAACAATGCTATAACTTCCGATTTCCAGTTTTGTAGTATAAATATGTTAGCCAAAACAAAACCAAGAGAAATTGCTTGTTTGAATTCCAAATTGTTTAGTGAAGCTGTACTGCAGATGTCCTCCTCCCTGCTGCCTAAACCAAATATCCGCCTTATGCTAATCCCACATCCGTTGCTGATCTCTATAATTTACTGTTTTTTTTTTTTTAGGATCTCCAGAGGGCAACCAACATTGTGTACCAGGCCCACCATGTGAGCAGGAGCAAACGAGGCCAAGTTGTTGGAACAAGAGGAGGCTTTCGAGGCTGCACTGTCTGGCTGACAGGTCTGATTTTCTTAGAAGCAACCAGAATGAAACCGTTCTCCACTCGCATAAAGCAACAGGGCGTTAGAGATGGCACAATGCCACATTTTCTTTTCAGATTCTGATACTGGAAACTTGAATATTAGTCGATATCTATAATAATCCAATATTGTTATTCTTTTAAAACTGCTAAGCTTCAGAATTAGCAAGTCTTAACTGAAGCACTTCACTTATGATGCTTATCTACAAAACATATGTGAAATATTTGTGAAAAAATGAAAAAAATTAAAGGAATAAAGCAATGCTAATTACAGAATAATGCTTAGTTATGGCCAATAATAATGCAGAATCGGAGTTGTTGTTGTTCTTCCCCAGATGAGCATTTTGTCTGCTGGCAATATTAAAACTGGGTGTTGGATCAGTGTCATAATTAGTTGCCATGCTTAAAAAGAAGTCCACCGATGTTTCAGATTTGTTGCTTAGATTTCTTTACAGCGATGGTGTAAGGAACCAGCAGTCACAATGTCTAAACTGCAAATATATTTTATTTAATGTCTAAAACTACAAGTGAATATGCACATGTTTTCTGAGTTTTAGATGTAATGCAATGAAAAAATGAAAAAAAATGTTTTCTTTTGGGAATATTTTACCCTAGAACATGTATCCCTCCGCGATGAGTGGATTTTAAAAAATGCATATTTTAGACCAAAATTTCAAATTATCGTAAAACAAAGTCTCAGACGTCACATTGTATTCATAAACATTTCATGTAATAATTTATGTTTGGGAATTTTTTTGGACGTCTGGTTCCTGTCACCATTGCTGTGACCAATCATGACTCAGTAAGTTTCTTTAGGATAGAGCATTTCACATCAAACCACTCGGAATGACTTTGTTTACATCAAAGCCATTAAATTATGCAGAAAGTTTTAAAAAATCAGTGGAATTCCCATTTAAATCCACTTCAAACTAAGACCATCATCTATAATGTCTCCCTTTAATACACTATGCACAGTGAAATTGAAATTATGTCAGTATCAGCAGATATTGGCTTGACAGTAAATTATCAGCACAGGACAGATGTTTAGATTTGACTGATATTTCAAACCGATATTTGATGACATATTTAATGACATTTATTATGGTCTGGAAGAGCAGACCTTTTAGATGACTCTGGGCTATTGCGCTAAAATATCTGCATTTTATTTATTTCACTGCATTTAAAACCCTCTACAAACAAATATTATGTTTCTCTGTAATGCTAATCCAGTTTAGTCCTGATTTCTACGTTTATAAATGTTTATCAGCATTGGCATTTCTTGTACATGAAAAATATCAGATTTTAGCTTCCACCCACAATCCCCACATCGGTGCATCTCTGCTTTAAAGTTGTGTCGGTGTAATGTGAAAGTCTGTGTATGTATGAAGTTGAATCACTCTACTGTAATGTTGGCATGCAGGGCTGTCAGGAGCAGGGAAGACGACTGTTGGCTTTGCTCTGGAGGAGTACCTAGTTTCTCACGCCATTCCATGCTACTCTCTTGATGGGGACAATATTCGGCATGGCCTGAACAAGAACTTGGGTTTCACTGCGTCAGACAGAGAAGAGAACATCCGCCGTATTGCAGAGGTGGCCAAGCTGTTTGCTGATGCCGGCTTAGTGTGCATCACAAGCTTCATCTCTCCCTTCACCAAGGTAACATTCAGCGCAAGGAAAGTGTGAAGAATCGAGATGTAAATGTCACAGCGTAACAAAATTAAAGGTTCCATTTGCTTTGTTTATTACAATCACACTCTACAGGACCGAAATGAAGCAAGGAAAATCCATGAGAGTTCAGGGCTGCCTTTCTTTGAGGTTTTTGTGAATGCTCCGCTGGAGGTGTGCGAGAGCAGGGATGTCAAGGGGCTTTATAAAAAGGCCCGTGCTGGAGAGATTAAAGGTATGATCAGATCAGCGTGTATTTGTTGTTATTATTTTTTTTAACCATGTTAAATCTCTACTATGTAAAATGAAGGAAATAGTATTACTGAGTCAGCCTGTAAAACAGAATATTTTGTGGATTTTGGTTTTCGGCACTTACATGTGTTTTTTTTACAAGATTGATGCTGCAGTCTTAGGCTTGAAGGTTGGCTGGATGTTGAACTGACGTATTGTATCAACCGCTATCGATAGGTTCAATGTATTGCGATTGTCAATAATTTAAAAATATATGTTTATGTATCAGCATCTGCATTTCTTGTACATGAAAAATATTAGATATCAGCCTCTGCCCACAATTCCCATATCGCTGCATCCCTACTGTAAAGTTGTTTAAAGCCTTTCACACATGGATTGGTGTCCCTCACGAAACATGAATGGGGGCTTAAAACATTTATGTTGTGATTTCAGTTATTAAAAACAAAGACAACACATCTACGGAAACAGTAGCCACTAGGGTGCGCCTCGTGGTTAAGCTTTAGCAGTTTTATATTTTAACAAGAAATGATTTATAGGCTGTAAACATTAAATTTATTAAACCTACAGCAAAAACTACCAAACCATAGCAAGAACAAAGTTATCTTCCAAATTTCTGAGCCAAAACCATGTTTATTTTGTCCAGTTTAGGCATGGCAGGTAATGTGGTGTTACCACCCAACCTGCTGAAACAGGTTACTGGTAAAATGTGCCTTGGATATTAATTAAGAGGATGCTCAGTCTGTCAGCGTAAAGAGCAGCATACAGTCCGTATTAACAGCTGTTTTTTCCTGTGCACACTGATCTGCACCACACAATGGTATTGTCAGGTGGCGACGGTTGGGGGTGCGATCGGATGGTGGCATATTGCCAACAATATTGCAAGCCTAATAGATGAAGTACATACCCCAGTGGCAGGGGTGTCAAGCACAGTAGTGGAATTAATGACAGAGTAGTCATAGTATAGTGGATAACACTGTGATGGTGCTATCCACTACACTGTCACTACACTGTCATTCATTCTGCTAGCATTCAATAATTCTTAATAGTTTAGCAGTGGTGTGTTTTGTAATGAGACAAATCACAATCAACTGACCTGAACCGAGCAGAGTACCTCTACCCCATGAAAGAGGTTATCAGCGTTCATGGTAAGTTGATATTAAGTCACATGAAATGCATTACTTAAATAATAATTAATATCCCCATCATTTACAGCGACTTATAACGCTGTTCATCGCTAAAATTTACACACAAAGCTGGCTAATGCTATGTTTATCAGTGGACAAAAACTAACATTAATGAGCAGTTAAACCTTAAATGGTGCAGCAGATACAGCAGTAGCTTTAGGTACCAGTATGTAACTCTACACTATATAAGGTGGAATGGGAAAACTCAAACAAGAAGCTGGTGAATAGGAAGAGAACTTCTGCCTCGTGCCTAAATGAAGTAACGGTTCATTTATCTGTGACTCGCATGTCTGTAGTTATTGTAGTCACTGGAAATTATCAAACCAGAGGACACACTTACATAAACACGAGCTGAACAAGTGTCTTAATATGGCTTGGTAGCCAAAGTTATCCAGCTTCTCTTTTAAATGTGTAGTGGGTATGTGTGTGTGTGTGTGTGTGTGTGTGAGTGTGTGTGTGTGTGTGTGTTGTGGCACTGTTAGAGAGCAGAGTGCATTGATATGTTGAGACATTATTCACTATAGAGTGACACTTGATGTTCAAATGCTCCCACATGTAATCCGGTTAATCATTAAATTCTTTCAACGATAATATGACGAATGTTTGTGTTCATAACGCTACAGTGTGAAGTCCTAAAGTTTCAAGTTTATTTTTAAAATGCATTATGTCATTTTATCTTAGTGAGGACCCTTGAATAACTACACATAATAAAAAGAAACATATTTGTTTGTGTGATTATCACAAATTTTAACCTGTACACTGGCTCTCTCACTTCTTAGGCTTTACAGGGATTGACTCTGAGTATGAGAAGCCAGATTCCCCAGAGCTTGTGCTGAAGACGGGAGAACTCACAGTGAATGAATGCATTCAACAACTGGTGGAGCTCCTGAAGGACCAGGTGGGCGTGTAGAAATTTGAGGACACTTCTGTTCAAACTTCTTAAAAATGATTAATGACTGTTGGGAACATTTTAAAATGTTCTCTGCCCATTCATTCTATTCTAGAATGTTGTGTCCTATTCACACAGGCCTTGATTATTTTTCCCTCCTCACATGGGTTTAGTTGGTTGACCAGTTCTTATTCTAGAGCAGTTCATACATTTTAAATCATATAAGAATGGTGATGCACCTACTGCTGGAGAGTTAGATAATAATGAGGATTGTGTTCACTGCTTGCAGGGAATTGTTCCCAGCGGTGTAACCGAGGAGGTCAATGAGCTGTTTGTCCCTGAAAACAAACTGGACCTGGCACTGAGTGATGCCAACATCCTGCCTACTGTAAACATCACCAAGGTAATACAACACTGAGCAATCCAGTGTGTTCATGCTCAGGTTCTGTTAAACTGTTGAAATTAACAGACATTCATGTTGCCACACTGGCATGTAATGCTTTAACCCACAAACCATGTCATCATATCCTATGTTGCATAGTAACTGTCTCAGCCACTCTGAGCAACATTTTATTTCATGAATTGTATAGAAATGCAATGATTAGCATTTTTTAGAGGAGTGGTTAAGCTAAAAATGTCAGAAAGCTGAAATGTACCCTTGTTTTCTTGGTGTCTTTAGTTGGATCTTCAGTGGGTTCAGGTGCTGGCTGAAGGATGGGCCACTCCTCTGAAAGGATTTATGCGGGAAAGGGAGTTTCTGCAGGTCCTTCATTTCGGCACCCTACTTGATGGTAATGATATTCTTCAGTTACAGACAGTAATGCCTTTCTACGACAGAAATCTCATCTATTGTATATGGAACAGTGCCGCACAATACACCACTAACCTAGCTAGGCATACTGTGCAAGGCCTTAAGACTAACTCAGCTGTATTTATACATATTACTCCAAACATTCCAAAGTGAGCTGTATAGCATACTTGCAAAAAACTGAATCTCATAAATGATTGTCAGTGTAACAGCATAGGCCTACAAGACCTAGAGATGTAAACGATTAACCAATTAACTGTTAGCCAACACATAAACAATTGTTCAAGCAGTGCTGTCAGTTAAAGTTTTTCATTTCTAAACAACAGTTCATATATGAATAAATGGCTTTAGCATTTACAAAGAGCAACGTTTGTGGTCTACGTTGTGATAGGTCTACTAAAGTTAGTCACATTGTACTGTAAATTTACCTCATATTTAAGAGATGCAGAACTGGGATGGCAGGTGGGGATGACTGCTGCCACCCCTTGCCACCCTGTAGATCCGCTTGTTACTTCATATATACACTTATGTCTGGCTCCACCTATCAGGACTATGTTCCATGGTCCATTCAAGGAGCATTTTTAATATCTTGATGTTTTAATACAGAATTCAGTTGATGTGTACACTCAAAGGTGTGCATATATTAAAAATGTTAATATAACTTTGATTGTAGGCTCGCAGGTTTAACGATCAACTGAGGACTATTTGTAGTATTATCAAATAATTTGCCAAAAATATGCATCCCTAACTGCAACAAACATTTATTTCTATAATTAATTAATGGACTAATCAATCCATTGTGACCTCTACAGTTTTCCTGTACTGTCTGCACAACCTGCTGCTTTAACATTTCCCTCTTTACAAACGCTCATATCGCTCCTTCACTGCGAGCTGCTGTAAAAAGCAAAAGACCAACAATAGAATAATATTTGTTTTATTATGGTTTGTGGTGCAATTTTTTGGCCAAGCATCAGCAACCTGATCAGTTAAATTTAAATTGGTATACACAAAGATGATGCGCGCCCCTATTTTCTGTTGTTCTGTTTTCATGGTGGTGAACGGGAGAGTAACAGAGCGCTTGCGTCCCTGCAAACCTTCTGATCAATAAACATTCGTGTGTATAATTTAGTCCACAATCCAAACGAAAGGAAAGAGATACAATATCACAAAAACAAACTGTGCTTGGTCTTTAGAAAATGAACGGGGAATGAAAACAGCCTGATATTCTTTAGAGAAGTTAGCTAACAAATAATGCTACCTGAGGTTGCAGCTACTGAAGCAGCATCAAACACTGACAGCTGTGTAGAGGAGCATAAATCAATACTCAAGTAAAAGTATTGATACATAAAAAAGTACCTTCCCCAAAACGACTTGAATAGAAATTCATCAACATAGGAACTGAAGATTGTGTGACCTTTTTTGTGGGATTTGTTTGGTCTAAGATACAAAGCTCCAAATTAAGACATGTAACCAATCACAGAGCAGTACAAATATTGCCATCATCAAAACATGCTGAAATGAAACACGAAAAAGGATTTAGTATCTAAATACGAATGGCTAAAATGTAATGAAGAAAAAAAGATTTCTTTACTCACTAATACACTTTAGTAGAAGTAAAAGTATCATGATTTGAAAATACAGGAGAGTAAAATCCATCAGTATTTTACTTCAGTACATGCACTTGAGTAAATGTAAGTAGTTACTACCCACCTCTGAATAGGTTTATAAAGACCAATAGGTTTATAAAGGCCATTTTAGTCAGTGGCCTAATTGCATTTAGTCACTCAGCCAGACTTTTTTTTGCTTTTTGAAACAATGTGTTTTGCCCCACAACTTTTGGAGGTGTGGTGCCACCCCTGACTGATTGTATTTAGAACATTCAGTTCTTCCCTTTTATTTATCCCTACATGGTCATGTCTGTCACACCTGTCACTTGTCATGTATAGGCTGGGCCTAATCTTGGCATCAGTCCAGCTATTAAACTGTGTCAGTCCATTGTTTTACAGGCTGGCTAAGTGTCTGGTACCTGTGTGCAAATAAAAAAATGCAGCTAGCTCCCTGGTTTCTGACAGGGTCTGGATTCTTCACCTGTCACAGCACTGGATAATCAATCAAAGCCATATCACACCAACACTTCCCATAGTGTATCTCTGATTATTAAGCGTCCTTGAGCATGGGAAAGGCGCTATATACATAAAAGTGATGATGATGATGATGTATCGCAGTCTGTTACAATGACAGTATATCCTGTGATTATTACAAAGTACTTCTGTATTTAAGTAAATGATGCATTGACTTTTTGTAGTAAACGACTCACCCACTTTGTTGACAAATCAGTACAGCCCCTAATTATGTCTTCCAGGTGGTACCATCAACCTGTCTGTACCCATCGTGCTGCCTGTATCCAAGGAGGACACAGAGCGGCTGGACGGTTGTGCTGCTTTTGCATTGGAGTATAAGGGTCGCAGAGTGGCCATCTTGCGGAACCCTGAGTTTTATGAGCACCGTAAAGAAGAACGCTGTGCACGGCAATGGGGCACCACGTGTCCCCAGCACCCTTACATCAAAGTGAGAAAGAAGTATATACTTCGTCTGTTGTTTAATGAAAATTGCATTGTGTCATTTACATTCACTCGAAAGAGGCCCCAAATATTCTGTTGTAACTCCCATTAGGATGAAGCAGTCTGAACCAAAAGATACGCTACATACCTTGACGTTTGTGTAATCGATTGCATGCGATGCTGGAAGTGATCTCTATTTTCTGCCAGACACATGAAGGGGTACGGGTGTATGCGCCCGGAAGCTGCAAACGGGAGTTAAACATCACGACCTCATCGCTCCAACGCAGGGGCATCCCGGCTTGTTTGAAGCTCCATATACTGAGGAGCACATTGCATGTTGTTTCGTTCAGATTGCTTCGTCCTAGCAAGAGTAATTACAGAATATTCGGGGCCTCTTTCAAGTGAATCTCACTGTAGAATAATATTGCTTTTAGTCATTTTCTGTTTGACAGTGCTTTAGTGAGTTTTATAAGCTGATGAAGCTAGTTTCCTTCTTAGATGGTTCTTGAAGGTGGTGACTGGTTGGCTGGTGGAGATTTGGAGGTGTTAGAGCGAATCAAATGGGATGATGGCTTGGACCAGTACCGCCTCACTCCGAAGGAGCTTAGACAAAAGTTTAAAGAAATGGGAGCAGGTAAATTATACACTTAAAGTAAGAGTGCATTTTTGTTTAAATGTGTCTAGGTTTTACTGATTGGTATCCAGAATATGTCTTTTACACTTTTTTAGTTTTTTGGAAAGCCTCAAAGCAAAGACTAAAATGCTTTTGAATCAAATACAAACACCTAACCTTAAAACAGAGAAAGAAAGGAGTTAGATAGTAGCTTGTAAGTATACTAGTATCACTATATTAAGAACCACAACACTTATGCATTTTTTTAAGCGTGACAGAAACCGGTTATAGAATAGCTCACTACTAGAAGTCAAAAAATGGCCCATGAACAAAGAGGCTTTTAACATCTTGCTGAGTCTGTGGCTCAGTAAACTAAGGCTATTCTGAGGGCAAAGAGGGTGAAACTCAATGTTTTGTACACAGTAATTAGAATACAAGCCTTTATTTCCTTTTTGCAATACCAGAATTTTAAGTCTCTAATAGTAATAATAATTATTATTCTCATTATATCATCACAATAATTATAATAATCATAAATTAGTCAGTGATTTTGTTGTACGGTATATGACACTGGAGCTCTGTTATTTGAATGGATTTAAAGGGTTACTCTGACTCCAACTTAGCATGACTGCATATACACGGAAACACCACCTCCCCTCATATATACATACAAGTTACCTTCAGTAAAACAGCATAACATTTTCTGATCCACAGGATCCAACTTAAACCGTATCTCCTTCCCGTAGATGCCGTCTTTGCCTTTCAGCTGCGTAACCCAGTGCACAATGGTCACGCCCTCCTGATGCAAGACACCAAGCGCCGTCTGCTGGAGCGTGGCTACAAAAACCCGGTGCTCCTACTGCACCCGCTGGGCGGCTGGACCAAGGAGGATGACGTACCTCTTGACTGGCGCATGAGACAGCACGCTGCTGTGCTGGAGGAGGGTGTGCTGGATCCAGCCACCACCATCGTGGCCATCTTCCCTTCACCCATGATGTACGCTGGCCCTACAGAGGTGAGATAGCTAAAAGCTAACTGCTAAAGCTAAAAAAGAACATATTGGGCTGGCGTACGTCTCGCGCTGTCCAAATTGAATATTAAATACTACAGTATATAACGATTACTAATGTTAAGAATTTACTTTTAAAGATTTGGCAGATTTTGTTCCCAAAGTGAAGTTGCTATGCCAGCATATATTAAATCCAGCCATGAGCTTGTAGGCCAGTTGTAGGCAAATACTACTGAAGTTTGGTAACAAACTTTTGCCCCATATGTTACATTTTTTTCTTCTGTATTTTATTTCCTGAAGTCTAGTTATGAGGTTTGTATGTTATGTACCAAAAACAGCCATACTTAAATCATCATGTAATAATTTCCAACCTGTTTTTATCCCTTAGAAATAAACAGACTGCTTTGGTTACTGTGCCTTTTGAAACTGATATATGTAAATGATCTCTGTTCTGATTGGCTGTCCTGTATTGTGCATTGTTGAAAAAGGAGTCCAAGTAGGTTCATTAGTTTTTTATGCCATTATGTTTTTGCATTTTGGTTTCCACTTATGGACTGCATGGATTACACTTTTTGAGCGTACTCAACTTTGCCAGTTGTAAATATACTAAATACATTATGCTCAAAAATGAGTCACAATTGGGATTTAGCACTGAAGGCCTTAGGGCCTTCTAGGCCTACAGAGAAGGCCTAATGATTTCTGTGAACTAGCCAGAATGTAATAGCCGCATCATTTAAGGTTGTGATGTGGGCTGTTTTTCTCATGTTTTGGCTGAGTTTTTAAATTTATGATCCAAATTAAAGAGCTATCTCTAATAGTCACGGTTCACCACTGGTAAGCATACAACTGGTACTCAGCATCAGTCTTTTACAGTTTAAAACTAGATCCAGTTACCCTCTGATAGGAGGAAACAATTGTTTGAATGAGTATATAATATGTGTTTCATAGGTGCAGTGGCACTGCAGGGCCAGAATGATTGCTGGTGCCAACTTTTACATTGTGGGCCGTGACCCCGCGGGCATGCCGCATCCGGAGACCAAACGGGACCTGTATGAGCCCACACACGGAGGCAAAGTGCTGACCATGGCCCCAGGCCTCACTTCTGTGGAGATCATTCCTTTCAGAGTTGCTGCTTACAATAGAGTGAAGAGGGCAATGGACTTTTATGACAAAGAGCGGTAAGACATATCTCAGCTCTACAGAGAACACACTTATGCACATTTAAATGCACAATTACTGTTTGTTTACTAAATTTAACACATTTTGTATTTTTTCCCCCAAAATGTTAAAATCAGCAAATAAATAGAAAGTGTGCACATAATTAAAAAAATGGCATATTTGAGCTTAAGTTCTCTGTAGGTATATGTTAATTTGATTTCACATTCAAAATCAACCAAATGCATTTTCATCAGGGGTGTTCAGACGTTTGCATACGACTGAGATGTTTACGGTTATTGCTATTGTATTTTTGTGTTGCTGTACATTAAATTAACTTTAGGTTCATTACATCAAGTTTATTTAAATGTAATTACATTTGCATAGTTTCTTAATAAACTATTCCTTACAATATATACATTCAAATTGACTCAAGCTTAAGTCTGCTCTTCACCCCCTTTATTTTGATGTAAAAAATATTACGTTTTTCATCAAAAGTTCAAAAAATTTCAACTTTGGTACTGATTGAAAGTTTAGAATTGCACTTTCAACAGAATTTCTTGACTTTAATAATTGGTTCACTGAGAAGTCATAACAAAAAACCCTACTATAAGGATTCTGCTTCTTCCAGACAAGAAGAGTTTGAGTTCATCTCTGGGACCAAAATGCGAAGACTGGCCCGCAGTGGAGAAAACCCTCCAGATGGGTTCATGGCACCAAAAGCATGGAAGGTTCTCACCGAGTACTACATCTCTCTGCAGAAAGACTAATGTGTAGGCCAGTACATATTAGGTTCACTTGCATTATGTATAGGCCAGTATGCATTACATAAGGTCATCTTGTAATCTGTAATCTCTTTTGTTTTTAAATCAAGGTATAATTTATAGGTTTTTAGTACTATATATTTATAAGTACTCAGAACAACAGCAGTCCATATTTGATCGCCTGGGCCAGATTTCTTTAAATTAGATTTTGGCTATAGAGGGAAAAAGCTGGACACCACATTCTGATCAGAAAAATAACATACAGGATCATGTTGAGGCAAATCAACCTGATGTTTGTCTAAATTAGATGGTCGGTGAATATTTAGACTTGTAAGAGTCAGTCTAATTGGCTCAGCATTACATCTTTATTTGTGGAATCAGTATGTCAGTTTTAACATGGAAACCTCACTGGAGGAGCAGGAAGGGAGCAGTTCGTATTAATGAAGACATTCCTGAGCACAAGCGTTTTTTTTTTTTTGTCTTTTAACCATTTAACATGTTGCAGTTTAGTAATTACATCATATTTGATGTAAAAAATACTTTTAGAATGCTTGTAGTATTGGTAACAGTATATACTGGTCAGTTTATATTTCCCCTTTTCACTCACTTGTGTCAATGTCATTCATATTCAGAATGAACATGCTGATTTCTTAATGTAACAGGAAACTATGCAACTAAATGTGATTGAGTGTATGAGGATATTTTATATGGTTTGTGTATGGTGCATAACATTAAGTGCTTTAAGATCCACATGTGAAAGAGCAAAAACATATTTATTGGCTTTCTTTGTAAAAGTAACAACCTTAACATATTTATTACCTTACAGAAAATGAATGTAGTTTTAACTGTACCTTTTATACATACTTGTGATTTAATTTTTTCACAGCAAAAACCACCTTGTACAGTGTGCAGGGTACTATTTTAAATAAAACCCAGTAGTGCACAAAACATTCACATTGTTGTGTGTGTATCCAAACTGTTGCAAAGGTATTCTTCCTCTTGGCCTTATTAATACAAAAAGAATTCAGTAGTTTATTTATGAACTACTGGGCTAAACTGCTGTAGACCGACTAGGTGGATATATGTAATGCTTGGTCTTTTTATTACATCACAAAAACAATGAATGCAAAACGGGTTGTTTTTGCATCGTAGTTTCCTTATATGGACTCAGGTGTGAACAGCATGTTTTAATACTTTAGCAATGTTTACACACTACATCACAAAAAGTGAGCACGTTTTTCCATGATATGAGCCCTTTAAAACCATTTATTTTGGCAGTAAGTGTGTTTTTGCCAGTTAAAACCCCATACAACATTGAATGCAAACAAAAATTTCTGCAGTAAAAAGCAACAATTGCTTTTTTAAAAAAGTACTCGAATTAGCAGTTTGAACAATACAGGTTTGGTTCCAGACTTCTCCTCCCCAATCACTGCATTTCTTTATTTTATTTTCCATTATCATCACGTGATTTAAAGGGCATATAAAACCAAATATGACTTAAAAAAAAAAAAAAGTGTGATGTAGTATGGAAGCAGTGTCAAGATATGGAATTTTTTTGAAAACCAATGTATTTGCATATTTACACCTATTTAGCAGGCTAAATAGGTGTAAATGTGCAGATACATTGGTTTTAACTCTGCTTATTCTGCTTAAGTTATGAAGTTTGTTCTGGACTGCTTTTGTAATTAAAAAACAATACAAGACAGCAAGAATAAGAGTCCATTTACATATGCAAGTCTTAAAAGGCACAGTCACAAAAAAACCTATTTAATTATAAAGGATGAAGAGAGGTTGAAAAATTGTCATGTAAATATTAATTATGACTGGTTTTAGCTTGTAAAACCACACGTCATTAGTGGACTTCAGGAAAAGCATAAAATACAACAAAAATGTAGGATATGGGCCCTTTAATAAAGCTATGCTTTAGCTTCAGTTGATTGAAGTAGGCATTGAATAATGATTACAAATTATACCGTTCGTTCTTTAGGAGAGGTTTAGAAACGGCTCAACAAACATTATACACAATATACATAAAAGTACTGCTTATTAATATTTTTTAGATTATTTCTATCATATATATTTATATTATATCTGTGTCTTTCTGAGCAAATAAATGCTTACTGCCTAATTAATTAGATTTTGAGAGTTTTTTCCGGTGCCTAAAACTTGCACAGTACTGTAGATTGTATGTAACTATATAGACTTATCAGTAATACACCCACTCCGTCACTCAGTGTACTCCATTCCACTCTGCAGACTGTATTTTATTTTACTTATTCATCTATACATTTTAAGAAAAAGTGTTACTGCATACATTTTCCATCCTCACACACCAGGGAAAAAAAGGGAAGACATCAGCACATTAAGAATTTTAATGTGGTCGCTCCTGTTGGCACGGCCACATTCAAAACATATAGGCAAGAAACAATGTAATAACATAAATTAATGATATTCTGTACATCCCTATGTATTGCTATTGCAAATAAATATACAGAAATTAGCACAATATTATACAGCATTATAGCTCTTTTCTGGACAACACTCCAAATTCAGACGCGTGCTTATTTCAGTCTAAAAGGCCTGAATGTAAACGTACTTCAACATGTTCAAAGACTAGCTTTTAACTTCAGTAGCAAGAACAAACCAGGGACACACTTGTGCTGAGACAATGCAAAGGAACTAACTTCTGACCTGATCTGTTTCATTTACTACCTGACATTCAAAATGGCTTAAGAAATCAGAGGGCGATATATACATTTTACGTGGCACATTTTCATATGCTTTCAGAGTCTTCCTGCTCACACAGTTCAAAATATCCTATGGAAAAGGGGCTTTTAATTTAGTCCTCAGGTCCTTCCAGAAAATCCTTGCTAGGGCTCCTTTTTCTTACATCTGAGCCATCTACACGCCATTGATTACCTGAATCAGGTGTGTCTGAGGCTTGAACAGAAAAAATGAGAGTGGGTTAAGGAGTAGGGCTGCACAATATCATACTAAATGTTTACAATATTGGCCTTTACAATACTGATATCAAACACGTCTGTCATATGCAAATGAGCCCTTTAATCACAATGTATTTTACTGTTTTCTGTGTGCATTAGGGGAGGCACAATATACATGACATTAATTTTCTTCAATACAGGGGTTGCAGGAGATATGCTTTTTGAATCAAATACAGTTAGAGGTCATGCTAGAAAATGCCTGATACCAGGAATGGTTTCCATAATGCTATTAACACAATCCACAATATTCCTAAAACTGAATCCACTTTGCAGCCCTCTGAACTAGAAAAAAACTGGTTTGGTTGGCCTACCTCGAATGGTTGATTAGCCAAGTCGTTTGAAATGACAAAGGAGAGAGTGATCTGCTGTTCAGTCGAGGACAATAATGTTGTGCAAAGAGTGGTAGATTGAGCGGTCACAGTGTGCCGACACTGCTCAAAAACCAAATACCCATGCTAATACGTCAGATATGCTAACTCACTTGTATAGACATCACCCAAATCTGTCAGTTAGCGGAATGACGCTACAGTTTGCCAGCTTTTCGTTAAAATGTTCCATTCCACCTTGAATGGAGCTGCAGTTACGTGTTATTGCTGCCCTGTTTAAGCCGGAACAGAAAATTTTAATAAGAAGCTGGCGAAAGAGGCCAACTTCAGCCCTGTGGAGAAAACACAAGTCTCTGTAGCCCCTTTTTGATATGAGATTCAAGCAGCTGCTGATGTAGCCTTATAGTTTACATTTTTTGTTTACTTTTATATAGATAAAGTATTTGAATCAAGGTATTCATGTAATCCAACAAAAGTAAGTTGTTTTGGTCAAAATAATACAGGCCATTCTTTAATGCTTGGGCCAGGCCAGGAAAACTCCCTTCTGACGATGCATCTTGAAGGTGGGCGAAACTGCTTTGGACTTTTACAGATCAGCTGAAATGTGATTTCCTAGCAGTAAGCTGTTAACTGGCTTCTGGCTTCAGAGTTCAAATACAAAAAATACTTCCTGGATGGCACCCAAAAATCCACCCTTAAGCAGTCATAATTTTCCAAAAGTTCCTCCCACCTTTAAGATACATCATCAGGAGGAGGTTTTCCTAGTCTAGCTTGAGTGTCCCTTTAATCATGTCACATTAAAGACTATACTGTGTTTTTAATATACTGCAAGGCATTTCACAACTGCAATATTTAGCAGTATAAGTAATATTACTAGTATTTTGTCCATATTGTGCAGCCCTACTGGGCAAGTATGTCCAAGAGGACCAGACTGAAAACTTCAGCTTAGCAAATAGCAGAACAGGGGTGTCTATGAACAAACAGTGCAAAGAGAGGTCAAAGGAAGTGATTAAACATTCTATTTCTATGCACAGAACCAAAGCGTTTCCTTATGCCAACCATATTGCACAATGTGGTAAATTTTTAAAAAAGAAGAAAAACGACAACAAAAAAATAACAGTAATTTCTAGGAGAAACAATTCACCTCCACCAGAAGTATAAGAATCAGTCCAGAGCTGGATGCATCAACATATTTGGCACTCCTGCCGATTTAGACTTTTTCATCTTTTCAATGGCTTTTTGGAGGTCTGTTTGTTGGATGGGCCGAATGTAGTCGTCTTCTGGACTGTTTAAAGAAAAAAAAAAAAAAAAAAACAGGTTAAGGATACATAAATATTGAAACATTTTCACTTTATAGTACAGGTGGAGTAAATGAAGTGAATCCAAACTGGTGGGACTGGATAGGCCACAGTGTGGTTTCATTTAAAGTGATTTAGAAGCCTCTAATTGAGCTCATTATGAAGCATATCTAGAATGCCTGCATTTGGTATGCATCCTCAGGTCAGAGCAGTCAGGTATAAAATCCAACCCCAGTGAGGCTTATTCAGTACTGTGAAGACACTAATCTGCCTATTGAACTCAAATTGTCGTGTGTTTATGTTTCAGTGCCAAATAAAGTAGGTGTGCTTCCTGCATTCTTCAGCCAGAAGCAAACCAAAAATGTGCCACACTGCTTACATTACAATAAAAATTTCCTCAAGCACACCAAGTGTCTTAAACCATACTGTTAAAACGCTTTGGTCAAATTTGTTTTTTGACACATTGGCACTACAAAAACATTAATTGGTTTAAAAATTTGCCAGACAAATTAGGCTACAGGAATTTTTAATTCCAAGATCTTTAAATGGGCTACATTTAGATTTGGGTGTACAAACTATAACTTTTGATATTATGAATGAAAGGCATTCTATTTTTGCATAATGATGTTTACTGAATTAATGTAATGAAATAATATAATGGTATGTAACATTCATTCCAATGTAAACTGGTACATAATTAAGTAGCATTAAGTTATTTAAGTAAACAAAGATGACAGAGTAAGCTAATACATTTTTGTACATAATTACGTTGCTTTAATCCTTTGAAGCTAAGGTAAGCTGTTCTCATATTTATTTAAATGTGTAAAAAAACATCATCTAACAAAGCTGAACATTTATAAAGTATGCAACAACAGTACACCCCTGTTCCATATCACTGAAAATCATTAAAATGACTACATACATTTTAATTTGAAAACATGGTACTTGGGTCACTAAAAATAATCAGGTTAGACACACTGCAATAAAATTTCAGAGGAAAAAAAAAGTTAAACCTTGTGCAAGAATGTGCAAGAACAGTGGTTAACTACTAAACATAGTTTTTAGGAAGTGTCAGAAGAGCCAAACTACCAGTAAACAAAGGTGCAGTGGCTGTTCTCAAAAGGACTCAAAACAGTATACTATTTACACAATGATGATGGGCCAGTGTGTTCAGTTTAGAGATTTATCTTTAGAAATCAGCCTCTCACTGAGTGCTCAGACAGTGTGCCGGACATTGCATGAAGTCAACCTGTACAGACGGATTAAGGTTTGCAAAAGAACATTAAAAGAAGTTGATGAATACTGACAATTTATTGCTGACTGCATGGTGCCAACTGTGAAACATGGTGGAGGTAGTGTGTTAATAAGGAGCTGTATGAGTTCAGCAGGTGTAAGAGAGGTGACTTCTAGATGGCATCATGCACACTAGTGTCTACACCCTGGTAGGAAAAGAATGATCCAACACAACAATGATCCTAAAACACACTGCAAAAAGCATACAAGTCAAAAGTATGTCACCTGACCTAAATCCTATAGAACAACTTCTTAAAGCAGAATGCAGAAGAGTACAACCAGCAAAGCAGGAGCTCAAAAGAATCATTTATATCTCTCCAAGGATTTCTATCATCTAAGTCAAGGAGCCTTGAACAACAAAGGTGGGCACACAAAATATTAGAAAAACAAAGAAAACCCCACTAGTGAAGGGTGTACTGGTTTGTCCTTACTTTTGTTGTATACTGTTTATTTTTATTTTGTGTCAAACACTACTGCTTGAGCAAGAGAACACATAAATAGGAACATATTTCACACATATTCACCTTTTATTGCTACTATTGAAACAAATCAATAAAAAGCCCTCAGCGATGTGAATTCTGTCTGAATGTGTGTACGCACCCACTCAGGAACTTACAGTGCATTGAGCTTCTTTTATACATTCTTTTATACATAGATTGACAGAAAGCTCTAATTGCACATGCTGACTCATTTTATGTTGCCCAATGTGGGTATGCATGTGTCATAACTACTTTGGCAGCAGATTCTAATGAGAGAAAATGTCTCCAAAGTCTCTAAATGTATGGACAATGATATGTTGGCAGACAGGGTTAAGCAAAAGTCAACTGACATTTTCTCACTGATCTGATTGGATAAGAACTAGATTGGTCTAGTCAAATGAGGTAAACTACAACAATCTGCCCTGCAGCAGGTTAAGTGTGGAGAGCAAGTTGGTGAGTGAGCTGGTCAGATATTCAGCTGGTATACAGAAAATACAACCCAATAAACCTTCAGGGAATTCCCATCTGGCCTCTGCTTTTACTACAGACAATGTTTTTTTTTATACTTACATTCCCTCAGGATCAGTATTGTGCACAAAGTCCCGTACACACAGTAAAGCTGCATCTCGACACATCTCTCTGAGATCACTTCCTGAGAATCCATCCGTCTCTTTAGCTATTTCACAAAGGTCCACTGCAGCCGACACCTTCAGAATAGAAATTACTGTATATTACTTCTATCAGGCCACACAAATACGTGTTAGATCAATAGATAAAACACTTACATTCTCGTTTTCTAAGATAAGCTTCAGTACTGCTTCCCTTTGCTTGATATTCTGGACAGGAGAAAAAAAGTAAACAAACAAGCCAGTGACTCAAAATTAACTGATGGCAGTTTCAACAGTGATTATAAATAATTAATCATAATTATTGAGTATTAAGCATGCATGTGGCACACAGGCCTAAATACGGGACAATAACGGGCTAAACCTGTGGGAACACTTACAGGCTGATTTATGTGGAACCTTGTGGGCATCCTACGGAGTATAGCAGAGTCTAGGTCCTGAGGGCGGTTGGTGGCCCCCATAATTATAACCTGTACAGATACACAGAAATGACCTTACTTAGTCATGACCCTGTAGTCACCAGAAGACCTAATAATATGTTAATGAACTTAATGCTCAATTTGTGGAACCTGTTTGATCCCAGCCAATGACACACTCACAAAAACAAGATAATTAACCACAGAAATGCAGAAAGAGGCTCGGTGTACCTGGCAGTTGAAGTCTGTATCTAACCCATCCCATAAACTCATGAACTGAGCCTTCATCATGGCAGTGGCCTCGTGGTCCGAGCTGGAGCGGCTTCTTAAAAATGAGTCTACAGAAGGAACGCAAGGGAAAGTTACTGTCAGGGACCTTCTAGCAATAAAGGTCAGGAAATCATTAAGTACAATTTACAACTACAGTATCATCCGCATAACGTCCGGTACTATTGCACCTTCAAACTCAGGAGTCAGGAGTGCAGGGTAGTTGTAAAACGTCACTACGCAAATACCTAGTATTAGCATAGTTTATGCTAGCACTTGTTTATGCCAGACATGGCGGCTGATGTTACAGGAGTTGGAACTGTTTTTTTTTCATCTTCATATAACAGGGTGAAAGGTGACCATTTGGTAATCTTCAAGGCCTTTGGCCTGACTGAGAGTGACTCTTGCTGACGTCATTAAGAAGGACAATATCTTTGTGGATTGAATCTCAATGATACTGTGTTCAGAATCAGCAACTGTATATGTTAATTTTTTATTTCACATATAATTATAAAGGTATAATTGCTTTGCCCATGTCACCCCCAGCACTTTCTCTTTTCTTTCTTTCTCTCTCTCTCTGTCACTCTCTCGCCTTTTAGCCTGCTGATTGCGTTCTTTAAGCTTTTGTCTTAACTAAGCCTTTGCGTGTGATGTTATTCTTTAAATAGTCTTTCCTTTTTCATGTTCTTGTCATAACATGTTTCTTATTAAATAAGAAAATCTATTTTACTTCTGAAATTCAGTGTGTGGTCTTCTCTTTTTAGTTTTTGGAGTTCACATCCAAAAACTAGCACAGACATTATCAATGGGTATCTTTCATATATTTCTAAATTTTTATTTCAATCATGCTGTGGTAAAGTAACCAACAGTTAGAAGTTGAATTTCAAGTAATGATAAACCTGCAAAAATGAGGTGTCATGTTTCATTTCGCAAAAACAAAAAAATCTAAAGGTAGCCTGGTGCATTATTTGATGCACACACATGTAAACTGTGGCTTTTAGCAATGAACCACAAACTTGCGAGACAGAGTCAGTGTGCAAAATCTCCAGGTATGTGGTACATTTTCATGGATGACATATAGAAGTGAATGTGAGGCTTTGCGCAGTTTACTTTTTCTCCATCGTTGTTTTGCACACTTACTGTCATGCCATATGTAGTTTAGATTGTCCGGGGAGTAACTGATGCATTTCTTCGTATGTATATGCAGGTTCAGACACATACAGCTGAGGCTCATTTGTGTGGAAAATGTGGCCCTTTAATTTGTAATGAGATATTGTATTGATTTTCTAAGTATACACAGTTTTTCTACCTGCATTATTCTACGACTCACCTGTGCTGTGAATTCCTTCATACTCGTCTTTGGTTGTCTTGCATAGAACGATATGAAACTGTGCTCAGGAAAGAATTGATTCCAGTTATAGCTGCCTCTTTTCTTTTCTTTTCTTTTAGCTACTCAGAGATGTTTTTTCCTCCCTATGGTTCGTAGTCATACCATGTTCTTAGTCACACCGACTTGTCTGCACGACCTGAATTAAGACCTGGATTAAGTCTGAACAGGCTGAGAGACGTTTTGGTCTTTTGTATTTACAGAAACTGTTTGGGACACTGCTGACTTTCAGTGTTTGTTAGCAACATTAGTCTTATACTTCCAGTTCTAAACTAAAGCAGCAAAATCATTCTAAGTTGACCCATGGAACCATTTCTTTGATAATAAGCTCAGATCAATAATCAAAAGTGTAAAATGCACTCACCAATCTCATCAATAAAGATGATAGAGGGCTGGAGCTTGATGGCCAGAGAGAAGACGGCAGCAGCCAGTTTCTGGGACTCGCCGTACCATTTGTCGGTCAGAGTAGAGGGCTGCAGGTTGATGAAGCGAAAGCCAGCCTCTTTGGCTGTAGCTTTAGCTATCAGGGTTTTTCCACAGCCAGGGGGACCGTAGAGGAGCACTCCTGAGCAAGGAGAGGAAGACAGAAACCGATGAGCCACCTACACAATACTATTTTCAGCACATCTGAACAAGCAGATTTATCTCTGTCCTCACCTTTGGGAGGTTGAAGCAGTCTTGACCCTTCAAAGAGATGCCTCTTCTGGATGGGAAGAATAACTGTGTCTTTCAGCTCGGTAATGACTTCATCTAGACCAGCTATATCTCTCCATGTAATCTGTAAGAATAAGTCAAGATCTTACAAATAAATGCTTTTTAAATAAACACTTTTCCACTGTTAAATCCAGCATTGTGATAACATACCAGCTAGACCTGTACAATATATTGTTTTAAAGGGACACAGATTATCACCCATAATCTAATTTGCGTCTTTTTAATATGGATTATTTTTCGTAAGAAATGTCTGTGCAGCATGCTCCTTAAGAAGGACGCTGTGACGAGGTAAGGACTTGTTTATGCCCATTTCCAACTATCCTACCAGACATTGTGGCGGCCTATGGTACAAAAGTTGGAACTGGATATTTCCTTTATTGTGTAGCTGGTTGAAAGGTGACCATTCATAAACTTTCAAGATCTTGAGCCTGACTGAGAGCAACTCCTGCTGATGTCATTAAGGTGCGCACAAGGGACACTATCTTTGTTGACTGAATCTCACTAATGGCACTGTTCAGTTTTATTTCTGAACCAAGTCTGCATTATAATACCTTTGATTTGTAATGATGAATCAGCAACTGTATATGTGGCCTGAATATTTTACATATAATTTGCATAAAGCTATAAATGTTTGGATGAAGTCTGTGTTAAATGGGCACCTGCACGTGCTCTGTCTTTCGACTCTTTTGGGTTTCAGCCTGCTGATCGTCTAAGTTTTTGTCTTATTTAGAACTTTGTGTGAGAGGTTGTGCATGTTTGTGTGGTCTTCTCTTTACAATTTTTGGGGTATATCACACCAAAATTATGAATTAATGTTTTTTATACATCTCTAAATTTTTATCTTAGTCGTGTTGTGGTAAATTACCCAAATGGTATCACAAAGTTTCCTTCTGCAATGCTATAGTTATTGTAAAAGGCAGCAAATGAAGGCTGCACGCTCTAACCAACCACATCGTTCTTTAGTGTTCTGTAGTATTGTCACCCATCATAGTTCCATTTAAGTGTTTTTGTGCAGTTTCAATTATTTAAGGTGTTTATGGCAGCCCCCCTAAGAGTAAATTATTTAGAGATTTAAAATATCTGTCAAGTCTGAACATCTGTCCAATAACCTTAATTTTTTTAAGCAATTATCTGCCAATAAAGATAACATTGCGCATCTCCACAGGATAATTTTTAACCATGTCACATTGTTGTAATACTAGCACTGTGCCCATATTGGGCAGTCCTAATGCTAAGGATGTAAAAATACAACATGTCGTATTGTATCAAGTTGTGCTGCAGCACACCATACTTTATTGTGACTAGCATGCTGGCTTGTGGCTAGTGTGTTAGCTTGTGGCAAGAACATTAGAAAAGATCAATATAAAGCACAGATTTGTTCTAAATACTGTACTTTTATATTGTTGTATCAGTGTAATAAACTGAAAATTAATACATTAATTAATGCACGTTTTCAGACACCTCCTTACTTTCGCTGTATTGTAAAATTAAAAAAAAAAAAGAACAATGAATTTTGTAAATTGTTGCACCCCTACCTAACAACCTACTCAACATCTTAGAACTGGCTAAAACACACTTGAAAATCCTTCCTAAAGCCACTTATTATGATAATGGAGAAGCTAAACAGAATCCTTACTTGCATAGTTAATGGGTCCACCAGATGGGCTGCAATGCTCATCTCGTATTCAGAGAGCTTGACATTCTGCACTCCGATCTGCCGCATCAGCTTCTCTGCCTGAAAAGAACCAGAAACATTCAGTCTAACCTTTGGCCAAAATCTACACTTCAAACTGTTACCATTCCATTTTGCTAACAATAATTCAGTGAATATTAATGGCACACCTACTAATGCAGCTGAAAGTGCATATGAAGAAATATCATTTGACCCAGAAATTGGTCTACTTTAACCAGACACTTGAAACCAAGCACAATGATCACACATGATCAAAATAATTACCAATAAAAGGGCAGAGCTGTATAGAGAATGAGCAGCAGAAGGATAAAGTAGATTTTGAATACCTGCTTCTGTGCTTCAACTTTTTGTTTTCGTGTGGGATCAATAGCGTCCACCATCCACTTTATAGTGAAATAAGTGACTGCACCAAATATCGTGAGGCGGAAGAGTAAACCGATGACCTCATTACGACCCAGGGGACGGGTGATATTGTCTGCTGGAATCTCCTTCAACACCATCATCACACATGCGCCTGTGGAGTAATAAAAAAACCTGCTAAAATCACTGGACAACTAGAAGAGTAACTCCGGTCCATCCTGTAAGATAATGACTGCCATGATTGATATTTGATGTGAGCAATTTAATAAGCTGTATTATTATGTATTGACACAACACCTTAAGCTGCCAAAAACCCATTTGACCACTCAGTTCAACCAATAAGCTTGTCAATTAGTTTTTGTTCAAGTAAAGGCAAAAACCTTTTTCCTAATAGTGTCAGCACATTGCCCACAGCTTACTACGCTCAGAATTTATTCCATTTCGGTTTCTAGACTTTTGGAAGAAGGGAAAAAAAAAACATCGCCAAAGCGCCTACAAGGTCTGTGGAACAGATTTATTAGGTATTAGATTTATTAATTTATAAAATTAAACACTTCGCAACCCGTGTATATCATGTGAAAGGAAAATTCACAGTTTTTTAACTTTCAACAAAAGAAATGTCTTCGGTCAGCCTGTTTTTCTGAACAGGAGTTGCTCACTTTTGAGTTTTGAAGGACATCACATACATTGGGGAGTGTCACTCTCACCTGAGGAAAAAGAAAGCCTCTATAATCACCCTAAACTTGTGGTTAAAAGCTGGCACTGTCTTCTGAATGCGAATATTTTGCAATTTAAGACCATAAAGACACTGACTAACTGCGTGAATAATGTTCCACACACAAGCTGCAAGCGTAACAATTTCAAAGCCAGCTATTCCGTCACATTGTTTTAAATACCAGATAGCTATGCTGTAGCCACTTTCTCAGAAAAGCTCTCAAAGTAAAATTTTGTGGCAGAACTGCCACAAATCCAAAAGGCTTCGTGGCTTTATGTGGAGCACCGAAAAAGAAGAACAAAGTCACCTGTAGCTTTTGCATACCGCATCACGCTTTGCATATCACAATAATACGCTTTTTCAGATGTAAGGTTCTCTTCTCCTTAAAGACACTTAAGAGGACTCCTTTTTGAATTGTTTTCAAAATATTTGCATAAACCCATCATTGTGATGTAAACACAGCCATTCAGAGTGGCTTAATGTAAAATTGTTTGTTGTAGAGAAAGTTTCAGATTTCTTACAGTGGTGGGGATAGAAACCAGGGGCTGCAATGTCTACAACACAAATATAACCATTTTGCTCATTATCCAAAACCACTAGGGTACCTCCAAATCGTTTGATGCTAAAATAGTAGAATATGAAAGAATATGCTTTTTGGGAACTATTTCGCCTTACAACGTCCTGCATGTACCCTTCTGCCATGAACGGACTAAAATAAATGGATTAACAAAACGTTTCAGGCCAAGATACTATCTCAAAACTATCGTAAAGCAACGTCTCAGGCATCATGCAGCGCATTAATAACCATTTTCTGTAACTTTTTGTGAGTTTTTAGAGGCTTTAAACTCTTGAGACGTTTGGTTCCTATCACCACCACTGTGAACAGTTCTGACTCAGTAAGCTTCTCTTGAACGAAGTATTTCACATCGAGCCACTGTGTATTACTTTTACTTCTGAAAAATCGGTGCATCCCCTTTAAGATCTGAGTTGAGTTTTTATCAGAACACTGGAGACTTCATAGCTTAACTTTGCCTGAAGACAGAGAGCAACTTTCAAACGATGCATTAATACATTAGAGAGAGAGAGAGAGAGAGAGAGAAAGACAAACATAAAGAGAAAGAGAAACAGACAGATAGAGATCCAGTCAGTAAATAAAGTGCGTTGGCAGGCTGCGTTCATCGTCATGTTTCGGCTGCTGAAACAGTTTTGAGAACTTGCAGTAACTGAGAAGAGCTGAGCAAACAGCTTGACAGCTGCAGTCTGAACCGTGGCTTTGAAATACTTCTATATGATCTCTAGTTTCCGAACGAATCATCACCTAGTAGACCATCAGTCAGCTCTAGTTTTGGTTTTGTTTTCGATTAGCCGGTCATCAACGTCGTTCGGTAACTAAAGCCGGAATAATTAGCCAGTCAGCTACAAAACTGAGCATCGTGTTTGAGCGCTGACCTTCTTATGAGCTCCGCGCTCAGGTTAATGCACAGTTTACTGTCGAACAAACGGAGCTGGAAATGTCGAGTCTTACACACATGCCCAGCTTCTAATTAAACGTATGGCTTTATTTAGATTAAAACAGACATATTTAGCTTTGCTACAGTGGGCCAAACTACATGACACACTCACCTCCACGACTCCCCGCTCCTCTCTGTTTCTCTCTGTGGAAGACGGTGAACACGGACACGGGACCGTCAGCGGCCCCTATCGGCTTGGAGGAGCATCGTAGAGCAGCAGAACTATGAAAAGTGGAAACTCCGGTCACACTGTGTTCTGATGCTTCTAAACACCTGCCCATCCAACGCTTCTTCTGAAATCAGGGATAATAATAAGGAGTTTGTCTCCCTTTTGCTGCAGTAATAGCCTATACTCATGTGGAAAGACTTAACACTAAAATGTAGGAACATTGCTGTAAGGATGTGACTGTCCTCTCAGCATTAGTGAGCTCAGGTACTGATGGATCACAAACGCCACTCCAGCTCATCCCAGATGTATTGGATGGAGCTCCATTCACAGCACCGTGCTGAGGGTCTTTATACCCCTTTAGCAGATGGCGCTTGCCATGGTGACATACAGGCCTATGTGTGGCTGCTCCAGAGTATCCCAACCTATTGGCAGTGATTTTCTGTGGAGATTATATGAGCTGTTTGCGCCGGACTGAATGCCTTAGTCAGCACTGGGGGCACATTAAAGTAGCTTAAATCACAGTAGGGGTGTCTGGATACTTTTGGACATGTTGTGTACACGAACCTTATAACAATTTTGAAATACTTCAAAAATAAAGGATTTCATCCATAGAAAGCATGAAAACTGCAACCTTCTTCAAAACTGTCCTGTCTTAAATCTTCGGTACTGATTGAAGTGAATCATTCCCACACAGCTCGAAACCCGAATCCATAAAGATAAAGTAATAATAATCAGTTGGTAATCTGAGATGGTAGTAATGAGTTACATTCGCTCATGCTTGAGCACTACTCTGATAGATTTGCACTTTCTGTTTTAATATTGTAGTACTTATATTTGTGAGCAATGGAAGTTTCACTTATTACTCAGTTCCATTTTATGGTCATTCACACTTCTTACACTTACTGTGTTTAATTTACTGTACTGAAAGTTCAGCACCTGGACTGCTTTGCTGTTACTCACATCTCTCACTTTTGAGCTTCAGCATTTTATTTTAGACCAAAAGGATTCCAGAAAAGAAGAATATAGTCTTAACAAAGTTCACGTCCGGTGCTGGATGTACTAAGAAGTTCTGCTGCAACAATCATTTTTCTTTTTTCGCTTCTTTTTTACTCTTATTCTGGTTGTTTTTTTTTTTCAATTCTTTTACTCCTAACAAGGCACATAATATGTATATTAATTAAATACTTATATTAAGACATCATAAAATCATTCAATCATTACATTAACGAGTTTTTACCAGGGTCACACGTTTTCAGGTACTGTATATTTTTAAGTACAGTTTTAAAGTGCTTATAGCACACAAACAGGATATTAGAACAGTGGAATGACTTAACGTCAGGGAAATCGGATTTTAATTCACTTTTTTTTTTTTTACTTTACGTAATTTGATGATTGAAACGTAAAATGGAGGCATTTCAGTTCGACTGTGCTTACAGCTATTATATCTGTGAGGCAGAAGTCAAGCGTACATGTAATTCGACCACTAATCTCCAGCTCGCCGTTTCAGAGAGTATCACATTATTCTGACAGATGGCGCTAAAGAATAAAGATTTGTCATTTTAAAAGGCTGGTTCACGATACCTCTGTCCCGCCCCGTGGACCAAAATTAACGTTTAACGCCCATGAAAGAGAGCTGAGTGTGCGTACGTTCACAAATCCCACCTGACGGTTCATAATGAAAACGACCCCCATACAGACTATCACACTGGGTCTTCGGTTCTTTTGGAGACCCCCCCATAGCAGCTTGTGCTCGGCCTTACTTTTCTGCTTGCGTAAGCATTTCAGTAATTTCCTGCCCTCTGTTGCAGGATTGTCGAGCGAAGGGGGTTACTACAGACTTTCTGAGATTTCTGTTACATTTTCCCACAGAAAGCACTCGTGCTGGCGTATCTTAGATTTTTAACTCAGACTTATTGCACTGTAGAAGAGATGCAGTGGCGTACTGAAATGCTAAATGCCTCATAAAAACAACACAAACCCCCAACGTTTTAAAAGTAATCTGCTGTAAAATATTGGACACTTCCCTCATTTCAGAAGACACGTGACTCTGGAACAAAAATGAGTTCGCATGTGTCCTACGTGTGTGTGTGTGTGTGTGTGTGTGAGAGAGAGAGAGAGAGAGAGAGTGTGTGTTCCTCCGCCACCGGCTGGGGTTCAATATGTATACTTAAAACACTACAAACGCAGCAACAGTCAGGGTTTAACTGATTTTCTATAAGTCTTACAGTATATTGAAAGCAATCATAATTTTGTTCACAGTAACGTTATGTGTATAAAAAGCGTTGCAGCTGGGGAACTACTTATTGTTGCGGAGCGCTATTTCTGGCTGAACGTTTTATTGGAAGCCATGATGGAAGTTGAGCAGGAGAGTTTATCGGTGGAGAGTTAAAGGAGAGAGCGGAGCCGAGCCTTGAGCACAACTGTCTCCTGTAATTCGGCTGACCAGGCCTTTTCTGTGTTTTAAATATTATGGTGGAGGCTGTCAGGTTTCTCCTCATGCTTTGGAATATTGACGACGTGGATGTTTGAACTTCGCTACCTTTTAATTTTATCTTCTTTTTAGAGAGATGTTCATATGCGCTAGCTCGCTAGCTCTCCGGCTAGCAGTTCGTTAGAGCTTCGCAGACGGAGAGAGAGCGAGTGTGTGTGAGAGTGAATGTGTGTGAGTGAGTGAGAGAGTGTGTGTCTGTCACTGCTAGTATATTCTGGGTTGGAGACGTCGGAGAGGACCCTCTCCGCCTTTTTCGGCACCAATCACGGCGACTGCGGCGGACCCAGAGACTTGGCGAGCTTTAGAGATACCGAGACGCGGAGGAGGACCGTCTGTCTGTCCGCCTGGAGGGTTTGTGGCCTCTCGGTGGGCTTTGGGGAGCCGGAGCCGGGCCTGCTGTGGCCTTCTCCTTTACAAGCGAGCGGCAGACGGCTCACGGCCGCTAGCTAGCAGGTAAAGAGCTGGCCAGGCTCGTCCAGAGGACTGCCAGAAAGCCGAGGAGAGTGAATAACGTTACTGACGAGGCGACGGCGACGGCGGCTTTGCGCCCGGAGGCAACGATACTCTCGCTTACCCTGAAAACCATAAAGACTCCTTTCACAGCTATGGCTACGATCATACAGAAGATGGTCAGCCGAAACAAAAGGAGATACCAGGAAGATGGGTTCGACTTGGACTTAACCTGTATCCTCCTCTTTCTTTTGCTCTTTTGTGGTCTCACTGTTTGTAGGTTACGCTGCGGATGAGGTGATCTGCCCAGCTTGCTTCTTGTCCCCAGTCCAGAATGACCAGTTAGCCCAGTCCTGCATCAGTAGTAGAGGAGGCTAGCTAATTAACCTACATGTGTTCACCCTGAGCTGGAAGTATTGACATTGACATTGTCAACCTGTCATCCAGAGCCAAGATTTAGTACCTAGTGGTTTGCCATCACGTTTAGATGTCTTGCTTTTTGCAAATTAAAGCCTGCAGTGTCATTGTCCGTTTAGCGAACTTGGTGGAAAATTTAAGATTGCACATGTAGGTCTTTTTTTTTTTTTTCTTTAATTCACACTAAGCGATTTTATTCAGTGCCAGCTTGCAGGCTAATGCTGGCTACACCAGTCCTGGTCTCAGCAGGACTCCAGTGTCAGCAGCGTCAGGGAGCTTTCTGCTGGAAGGTTGCAAGGTAGCTGCTACATATCCTGTCATTGTTTGCCCAGTCGATTTGCTGTTAAGTGTGATCATCGACATGAGCTGTTTTAATGTCAAAATAGTGCAGAACATGACAAGAGCTGGTAGGCTTGCTTTTGGTTTGAAACAAAAGATTCATGTTATGCGACGCTCAGAGGATCCAGTGGCCTACATAATGCAAGATTAAATTCACAATCAGAGCTACACAAAGGAGCATTGCATCAGCTGCTTGCAGAACATGGCTGTTGTTAAATGATCGTTTTAAATGATCAAGAATGTAAAACTGCAGTACCTGCATATAAAATGCGCACTGAACAGATCCGCTTCTCTCTGTTTTCTGGAGACGTAGTGGTGCATTTTCATTTTTAGTACTCTGCTGAGAATGTACACTTGAATAGACTTGTTACGTCTGATAATGACTGTCTGAGGTGAAGATGTTGGAAGTTGTGGTTGTGGTGAGGTTTGGTTGACTTTGGAGACCTCAGGGAGAATGTTTGGAGGAGAAACAAGGCATAGCTCCATGATTTGCCTGTCAGATTTCTGCAGGAAGGGTGTTTTTTATGAAGTCGGTATGCTTACTCTTAGATGGAATATTTTAGCGAATTTGTCCCTTACCGCCTTTAGCATTTTATTTTAATTAATTTATTTATGTATTTATTTTTTTTGGTCTAGTGTCCCAGTAACCGGATGAAAGAGAAATGCCCGACACGCCGTGGCTGCAGAAAGGGAATAAACATTTGGGACAAATGAAAGTCACTGAAGAGTTGCAGGTCTCTTTCCATGTTCATGTAAATGTCATGTTGGGTTTGGAGTACAATGGAGCACAAGGTGTTCCTGTCAAGCAGTCTCCTGCATTTTTGTGAAGTTGAGTTGAGACCAGTTACATTTTGAAACCAAATCTTGCAGTAGCCAGTGAATTAATGAACCCTATTGGCATGCGTTTGTCCCTGCCCACCGGCCTGCTGAATGGCTCCACTGTATCTGTGTATCCTGCATAAGGTCTCAGCTCATCATGCAATCAGTTCCTTTTATTGCAGTGTGAGCTGTTCGCTCATGATTTGTGAAATTCGACTTTAGTCAACAATAAGAAATCTCCTTGCTGAAATGGAGGTTCCCTTATTTCATTTTATAGATGTCGTAGTTTATTCCACCACCTTAATCAGTAGATACTGAGGATCTTAAGACTTACAACCTGTCGTTAGCTGGTTGAGTTACTACCTGAAATGAGAGATATTGTTGAGAGCATATGTTATGCTGCACGTTTGATTCAGATCCAGAGTTCTTGAAGCTTACCAAAGTTTCAAAATCACAGCTAGAAATAATTAGTGAAATATACTAACTGTTACTTTTTTATATAAGTAAACGTATCTGATCACACAGACGTAGGCCAGATGGTGTTATTGAAGCTATAGGCTATAGTGGACCACATGGCGTTACTGAAACGAAAGGCTATAGTGTTACTGTTTAGGAATAATCCATTTTCTTTTTGAAGTGCATATGTGCATTGACCCGTCATCCTTTTTTAATTTGCATTCATTTGCACTGCGCTTCATGCTGGTGTCGCATGAAACTGTTTCCTTGTTTGAGGTCATGTGTATTCTGGCAGGCATGCAGTTAACTACCCTGCTGATTTCAGTCACATGTAAATTTTACATTCTCAGAAAAAAGTAGAATTTTTTTAAAATTGGAATTAAATGCTGTTCTGTTTTAAGAACTTTGGTCTAAGGACTGAAGGCTATATGACTCCTTTCACCAAAAACCCCCACATAAAAGCCATAGTCCAACTGTGATTATTAGAGTTGCACTAACATGGGAATTGTGGACCGATGCCAATATCCAGTACTTTTCATGAATGTGTCTGCTGACACCAATGCATAAACATTTATAAGATGCACAAATTGAAACATACCCAGATTAGCATCACAGCAAAATGTAACACTCATTTGTATGGGTTTACAAATGCAGGAAAAAAAATACACTGCAGACATAGTAGCCCATACTAGCCAGCTGTAAACATGTCAGCAAATATTAGTATAATCTACATATCTATTCAATGCCAATATTACAGCAAATATCTGTCGATACCTTGATGATTCTGCTACCATTGTGCATACCTAGTGATTATTGACCAAGCTATTAGCCACCATTTAGCATGAACCATTTGCATAGTGGTTATTAGCATTTGTTCATTATTCGTGCGTTTGGTTAGACTAATCCTTTAACTGCCAGGCAAAGAACATGTCTGGGTGCAGACACTGCACAGTCTGTGAAAACATGCATGCATTGTGTGGCTGGAAGAGCACCTGTGATTTGTCAGAACATTCAGTAAGACGATGAGGTTTGCCAGTGTAGTTTCTGTGAACTATTTGCTGCTGATAGGATGAGTAACGCTGCTCACAGCTATATCTGAAGATAGTATTGCTAATGAAGTAATTGCACTTCTTAATGCAGAGGTTCTCCTGTTTTTATTTAGTATTTGAAAATCTGCCTTCAGCAGAAAGAATTGTTGGATAAAACATATCATATAATTATAGTATAATTGAGTACAGTTTATTTTTTGGCTACATAGTTTATAATAACTATAAATTAGTTATGACTAATCCACACCATTTATCATTTTTTTTGTTGCAGTACTAACTGCCGTTCAAGGCCTGTCCGAATAGATTCACTGTTTGGTTCGTATTTAGCTACAGATAGTAACTTGCTAAAAATTATAGCTCATAAAAACTGATTCATTAATGTGATTGTTCAGAATGTGTTCAGCACTAGAGCAGACAAAATGGGGAAAAAAGCTTCCGAAGGGCAACACTGCGTGGCCTGTGATGAGGATGTCACCTGAGTAGATGCTAGAACACCAGGAGTGGTTTGCGCTCACACTTTTTCTGAGTGCTTGAGTTATGCAGTGAAGCAGTGTTGCTTAATGAATGAGAAAATCTTAACCGCATGTAAGTCTTGTTGTTATTGTCGACGATAACAAAAGCATGATGTAATTTGAAATTAATTATTTCTCACTCGAAAGAAGCAGAGGAATTCTGTCTGAGGTGTGACTTCAAAACTTTCAACTAATACCTTATTTTTGTTTGTGGGTAGAAGAGGGGGTATTTTACAATTTGCATTTGATATAAGGTTCATGTATGTAGTCGTATTTTGTTGCAAGAGGTCATCCTTCACTTTTTTTTTTTCCCCCCATGTTTGCCATTTTGGGGGGAAAGTAAGAATTGCAGACTCAATCTGCCAATACATAGTCTAGATTGATTGTAAATGTAATTTATTGCATAATTTACAGTGTAATGACAAAATGAAATTGAATAATACAGCATAATGGAAGTAATAAATGTTGACTTCTGGGGGTTAAACCCAACATGTTGCAACATAAGTTGGCTAAAGTAAAGGGTTTCAGAGGATTTGCTTCAGTGAATCTCTTTAGGGGAAACAGAGATACTTTTTAGATCAACTTTTCACAGTTTTTGCTTGTTCTGGTATTTCTGACAGTTACAGAAACATGTCATTTTGGCCAAGAGCAATTTTAAGCACAAGTCTGTTGTGGTGTTAAAAATGTGAGTCAGAGGGACATTGCTTTCTTTTTAAGGACAGAAGAGTCCACTGCAGGCTGTCATGTGCATCTAAATTCAGAAGTAGATTGGATGAGAGGATTGAACTTCTGTGTTTAGCAGTGCAGTCAGAGTTCATAGCCTGAAACAGGCTGTCATGACACAGTATTCCCACAGTAGTTATTTATAAGGAGTCTTCATCTTTTGTGAGTGAAGTCTTAGGCTGTTCATTGTTGAATAAAAATAAAATATGAAAGAAAAGCTCATAACACACTTACACATTCTGACATAGTGTCAGTAGAGTAATATGATATATGGCACTGTTTTGTGATGCACAGTACAGATGTACTTCGCTGGGGTTTTTCCAGTGTTATCTTGGTGTCTCTGCCTCACGTTACTTCATTAGCTGCTTTCTGTGCAGTAAAGGGTAATAGACAGTACCTGAAGCCTGAGTTATGTTAGCATTGATGCATTTTGATGGCTTGGAGTTGGTATCAGTGATGTACATTCTGTGTACTTTTCCTTTGTTTTATGTTCTGTAAGTAGATTTCTTCTTAGAGAATTGTAGTGGGGAAATAAACATTTGCTATTGAGTGCATCCTCGTGTTGACTAAGCACATCAGTGTAGAATGTGTGCAAATTTAGCAATATCAGGAAATAGAAATGGCAGATATGGAGAAATTAGATCTTGGTCCTCAGCTTGGTAGATGATTTGCTCCATCATTTTGTAAAACTATTTATAGGCAATTATACACGTGTTGTGTAAATGTTATATTGGTAATATAAAGGAGACTCAGGGTTATTTAAGTATGCCAGGTGATCTGTAGAGAGAAGATATGATTTAAAAAATCTTGAGAGTAAATTGGGTCAGACACTTTTCTGGAATGTTCATGAGCGGAGCACTTTGTTCATAATGTGACTGATTTTTAAAAATTGTTCATTCTTCCTTCTACTGAGATATCAAAGCTCAGTAAGCTTTATTAGTGGACATTGATATGTTTGTCACCAGCCACACAGAGGTATAATGGTATGATATAAAGCACCTAGACTGTTGTAGACCTGATTGCGGTTAGTCATGAAGAGATTAATAATTTCAACAGTCTAAATGTTTAGAAATTAAACATATTTGCCTTAGTTAATGTTTGTTTATAGTGACGATAAATACCGCCTTTCTCATTTGTGCTTTGTTCTGTATTTTGTCATGAAAGAAAGTTCTTCTATGGGATAAAATAAAGATTTTTTTTTAATAGTTCTCAGCAGTGGCGCAAAGCTAACAGTGTTTGCTGGCAAAAAAGCCAATTATATATACATTTTTAAATATTTTAGTTTGTGGCTGAAATCCAGGGAAAATCAGCTTCTTTTGAGGAAACCTAGTCCTAAAATAAATAGAATTCACAATGAATTTATTAACAACCCAGATTCATTGTGCCTCTGTGTCTTGTATGATTCACAAAAAGAGAACTGTCTTACATTTAAAATAGGGCTGCAGGACCTTGCGATTGCAGCACACCTTGCAATACAGGCCACAGGAAGGTTTGAGATTTAGTCATTGGTTGGAAAGCTTATTTGCATATTTTAGCCTTCTCTAGCATCAGTATTGCTGATATAATGCCTTTTATTACGATAATGAGTAAAGAATATGTTGTGCCACCCCCAATATTAGAAACATGTCTCTTCCCAAATGGTAGGTACGTGTAGCTATTGATAGTTAGACTGAAGTGCAGGTATGCAGTTACTGCTTTGTGAATGTGTTTCTCTTTTGAGTTTAGTCCTAGATTAAGCTGCATCTGTGATAAGAAGCGGCGCTCTGGTCCACACTGTATATGTGTGCTGCTCTGCTGCTCTATGTGTGAATGTCAGGTGGAGAGGACTGATGAGCTCTCATGGCGCTTGTTATGGAAAGGTGAGGAAGGAAAGCGATTCCAGGCTGGACCGAGGCTCAGTGTGATTTATTTAGTGCCCCTGTGTGGCCTTCTGGGTTAGAGGTCTGCGCATTGGTCTCTTACTGCGAGGCCCATCTGTTCTATATTACCCAGGAGCCTGGTGTCCGGCCTCTCACTGCACAGCCAAAGTAGAATGCCACATTAGATGAGCAACTGAGCTTCTAGCTTGAATTATTTTGACTTTTGTGTGTGTCTGGCTTCCTTTGTGCCTAAATGTTTGTGTCCTGTTCTGTAACACAATCCTTGGCTCATCCTTTTTCAGTTCGGTAAGTATATTACATTAATAACATGGCATTCTTGAGATTTTTTTTTTTTTCTTTTTTAGAATGAAGCCACCAGCTTGAAAATGTGCAGTTGCATTACAAAATCAAGTGCCACATTAGCTGAGCAACTGAGTTTACTAGCTTGAATTATGTGTTTTTTGCTTCTGTTGTGCCTGAAAGTCCGCATCCCATTTTGTGACAAAACCCTTGGCTCACCTCTTGATAATTTCTACAGAGCTAGTAACTCATAACATTCTTGATGTTTTGAAAGTTTTCTATGTTCTATTCTATAACATAACCTTTGGCTAATTCATTTTCAGTTCTAAGGAGTATAAAAGGTTTAATGTTCGTGTTTCAGGTCTAGAAAGTAGCCACCAGGTTGAAAATGGACAGTTACATTAACAAAATCACATGCCACATTATAGGGATGCACTGATGGGAATTGTGGGTTTATGGTGATACTATGTATGAGCATATATTTATGATAAACATTTATAAGATTTGGACTAGATCTAGTTGGATTAGCGTTAGAGAAATATTTATTTGTAGAGAGTTACAGATGGTGTACAGTGTATCGTCAGACATATTAGCACTCACCTAAATGTTTTGGATTACAATAAATAAATCATCAGATGTTAGTTTTAATAATATATATTAAGTTAGGCTTCTTTTTGTCTATGGTCGTTAGTGTTCTTTTTTCTTACATGATACATCCTTGGTCCGCCCTTTTTCAATCCTGGAGTTAAAGCACATCAATAACCTGTTTTTCTTGGTTCTAGAAAGTAGCCACCATACTAAAACATGCAGTTACATTACGGTATCCAGTGCTGCATTAGAGTAGCAGAAGCTCATGTTATATAGACTTTTTTGTGTGTTTTGTGTGGCTTTCCTTATGCCTAAAAGTCGGTCTTAAGACTGTTTTTTTAATTTATTTTTTTTCTAGAAAGGATCCACCAGGCTTCAAATGTTATACTACCAAATCGAATGGCTGTTTTTCTTGGCCTTGCAATTGTCAGTTGTCCAAAAACGACATCACTTGGTTTCCTTAATTCTACAGTACAGATATTTATCCCAACATAATTGCTATGGGCTTTCCTGCTGAAAGACTTGAGGGGGTCTACAGAAACAACATAGACGACGTTGTACGGTGAGTGTTCTTTGGTAACACTCTTGGAAAGAGAGGCTCATCCAGTGCTGAACTTTGAGTAGCCTTTGTTGTAACACACAAAAAAAATAAAAGATGTTAGATCTTGTGATGCAGAAGAGATACTGCCATATCAGCTGCTTTAAGCCCGCATCTGGCTTTGAATCTCATTGGCTTTGATCAGTTTCCTTCCATCTGAATAGGATGAAGAAAGGCAGTAGGTCAGATTCATTTAAAAAACGTTCTACATGCAGAAATAGAGTATTATTACACATTTATTAATTCACTGTACCACCATCTCAATGGAATTTTGTCAGTGGCATAGCGGCATCTGTCGGGCTGCAAATTCTCTGAAACTGGATCTGACCAAATATGCTGACACATGTGCTGAGGATATATACATATGAGATAATGATAAATAATAAAGATTACCCCTGAAAAAAGCAAATTTGCCATATTAGATGTGTAGAGAAAATACTATACTGTAGATTTTTTTTTTTTTCTTCTGCACTTCAGGTTGCCTTTGTGTATGAATGACATGAACTCCCAGGCATTTGACCAAAATGCCCTGAAATGGTTTGTTTTTTTGTCAGAGTACTACGAGTGTTGTAATGGTCTGCTGAGTGCCGATGGCTATGCTGATATCAGGCAGTGGTTTTGGGTACGATTAGTGGGGCATAGAGACAGATACGACATGACCAAAATCAACATTGCATGTTTCTGGAAAAGTAATTGTTGTTCTCTCTTTAGGTTTCTGGATTCAAAGCATAAAAATCATTACAAGATATATAATCTGTAAGTATATATTAAGTCCTATGACTTCCACTATTTTTGAACCATTGTGGGGAGGCTGTGCTGGTAAAGCTGCCTAATAAAAATATAATTTGCATTTGCTTTCAGTCATAAAATATAATGCTTTAGAACAGGGTTAAATGAGATATTTGCTTAAAATGGCAATTTTTCTTCCTGTCTAAAATCCTGGGGTGACCTCCACCACAAACTGTCTGTTTGTAAACATTCATTATCTTTTAGAGCAAATTACACATTTAAGCACAGAAAAGGTCTGCTATGCAACAAAGTACACTGTCTAAAATCACAACATTAAGCAGCATTAAGTAAACTGTTGTTTGATTTTGCAGTTATCTGTCTCCTTTATAAACGCTGAATATTTTACTGCTCGGGTTCTGTCTGTTCTGATACAGCCTGTGTTTTTCGTTTGCAGATGTGCAGAGAGACATTATGATGCTACCAAATTTAATTGCAGAGGTAAAACTTACAAATACTTACAAAGTATTTTTTGTGAAATAGAATTAACATCTATCCAGTAACTAAACTTTTTCTTATCACCTGCAGTTGCACAATACCCATTTGAAGATCATAATCCTCCCCAGCTGGAGCTTATCAAACCTTTCTGTGAAGACTTGGATAAGTGGCTCAGTGAAAATGACAATCATGTGGCTGCGATTCATTGTAAAGCTGGAAAGGGCCGGACAGGTGTCATGATCTGTGCGTACTTGTTACACCGAGGGAAGTTTGGAAAAGCACAAGAGGCTCTAGACTTCTATGGGGAAGTCAGGACCAGAGATAAGAAGGTAATGTCCATGTTGTAATTTTTGTTTGTTTATCCAGGGTGGAAAGTAGATGTTGGGTTGCATTTTCTCAGTACAAGGTGTTTACACTTGATCGGAGTGCTGAGATATTGAATTAATTCAGATGTTATGTAGGGGAGTGCAATATAATGCATCGAAATGAAGCATAGATGTAAAAAAAAATTGAATTCATTTTGATGAAATTCATTAAAATTAGCAGAAATTTGGTTGACCAGAATAAAAATTCTCATACTATTTGTTGTTTTTTGTTTACATTCCACTACTGTATAAATAGTTCCTGTAGTCACATTTGTGCGTTCACTATGTTTTTAGAAATGTTTCCGAATAGTTCAAAAGTAATGCAGTCAGATTGTGGTGAAATTTGAGGTTTCAGTCAATTGAATCATTTCCCAAATAATGGAATTGTTGTGAGGTCAGAGATTGACACCCTTTTGTTATAATACTATCAGAAAGCTCAAGGAGGGTCACCTGCTATACTGATATAAAGTCTGCGACAGTCAAGCACTAGAACTTCAGATGTGGTTGGTTAAAGTGTGTATCATGAAGCTGACTGATGTTTAGTCATGTTTTATTCATTCATTCATTTATTTATTTATTCATTTTGCAGGGAGTGACAATACCCAGTCAAAGGCGATACGTCTACTACTACAGCTACCTTCTGAAGAACCAGCTAGACTACAAACCAGTGGCGCTGCTCTTTCACAAGATGGTGTTTGAGACAGTGCCCATGTTCAGTGGAGGGACCTGCAGTATGTATCTCTCTCTCTCTCTCTCTCTCTCTCTCTCTCTCTCTCTCTTCTCTCTCTCTCTCTCTCTCTCTCTGTTGAACTGGTTCCAGATAACTGTAAACGTTTTGGCTGCTTTGAGTTCTTATCTTGTCTCTTGGGGTGGACAACATGAAGATATGTCATCATCCTAATGATAAATTAAGTCACAATACATTATCCTCCACACTCTCTAGTATCGTTATTGCTTCTAGAACACCGGCCAGTTTTATGCTTCATAAAGCCATAGATATTTAGACCGGTTGTAGAGAGCCTGAACAACCAGTAGCATCACACTCTCACATTAAGAAGATGGCAACTAGAAGGTGATTGGCTATTAACTCATTATACCATCTGTTTTTCCTAATTTTCTGAAGTATGGTGGATAACAAAATATTGTGCAATAAATGTAACAGTTGCTGTCTTTTGGCACTTCTGTTTTGCTGGTACATTGTTCCAACTTGTCAGCAAACCACAGAAAATTAAGTATCAAAGTCTGTTTGTTGTGTTTTATGAAGATATTTTAAGTGACATTGTGTTTTTGCCACTTCACCCACCTCTCCAAGCTCATGTTTTGCAGATGCACTGTGTTACTGGTTTATCATACACTAATATAGGGACCCTGATTTCTGTTACTGTTTCTCTGGCCCTTGTCAATTTCTCAATTTAGTGCCAATCATGCATGTTTTTGCCACAGTTTGTGCAGGTAGCCTCTACAGTATAAACCAAGGTGTGTGTGTGTGTGTGTGCGCGTGTGTGTGTGTGTGTGTGCGCGCGCGCGCACCCATCCACCTGTCTACTGGTTGCCAGTACTGCTTTAGTCTGGGTGGAATCTGCCCACCCTAATATTTTTTATTTATTTATTTTTTTAATTATAACTTGGCTTTGTCACTCTTATAGTAACTTACACTCTTACTTTTTAGTTAGTGTAGTCTTTCCACTGAACCAGTTTCAAAATAGTGTTCATTTGTTTATTTCTGGACTATTTGTTTTAATGAATGTTAGAAAACTGCAGTAATTATCCTACACCAGTCAACTGCAAAATATGATATTTTGTAGTTTCATGAGGTCTGTTTTCATGAAATGTATAAGACTTGCTTTCAGTTTTTTTAAAGAAATCTGCAGGGTTTTTTTAACACCTCCAAAGTTCAGTCTTAGACGTTGGTTGCAATTTCTGCTTCTCTTCAAGTAATTTCCTTTACAAATTTAGACTCATCTGTTCATAAAACCTTGCTCCACATCTTGGGTGTCAACTTTGTGTTCTAATGCATATTTTCTTCCTTTTTTTGTTTTTGTCTATTTTCTTTAGTAATACTTTCTTGACATCTACACATCCTATCAGTGTCATAGCATTAAGTTGTCATCTCACAGTGAAAGGATGGACAGAAAAATCTCAAACATGAAAGCTTTAAGTACTGTTCATCTGATGGTGACAGTTTTGCTGGTCTACCAGGTCTTGCACTGTTAAGAGTCCCATTTTCTCTACATATTTGAATAATTTTTCAAGCTCTTATTTTCACTTAAGTTTTACACTTAAATTCCTTTAACTTTACTCTTCCTCATGACATGAATTATCTTTTATCTAATCTCCTCAGAACATCAGTCATATCACAATCATACATTTAAGCTGATGATTAATTGCCATATAAATATTTGCAATCAACAATTTAATGTTCTTTTTTGTTCATTTTATGCAGCTGTACACACCTAAAGTGGTCAAATTGGTTGATTAGATAGCATGTTTCCTCAATGTTGTGCGTGTCCCTCAAACTTGCCCACATGAGGCTCATGTACACGGTGAGGAATTATAATACTGCTTCTTCAAAGACTTTGTAGATTTCATGTGTGATCAGAACAGAGAATTGGCACTAGGGTGAAAAAACTTTTCCCAAATGTTCTTATAAACATAATTTTCAGTTGCAATAATTAGGTAGTGCTGTGTAGAATCCGCTGTTGTTTAGATTTAATGTCCCATGTGTGACTGTGTATCTTGTTGGAATAATCCTTTGGGCAGTAGAAGGTGTGTTTTTGGTCAGCTGTTCATTAGCATGTCCCTGCAATCTTCTTTATCAGAATGTCTAGCACAGTGCTGTTTTGCTTCTTTTAGTCCCTCTTGTAATCTGTGCAAATGAAAAATGGTTGAACTTTTTGTTCAGTGGGTGTGTGTGGTGCTCTGTGATGAAAGTGAGAAAGTAACTGTTTGAAAACATTCTGCCTTGCAGATCCTCAGTTTGTGGTGTACCAGCTGAAGGTGAAAATCCACACCTCTAACCCGGCGCACACGCGACGTGAGGACAAGTACATGATCTTTGAGTTTCCACAGCCTCTGCCTGTGTGCGGGGACATCAAAGTAGAGTTCTTCCACAAACAAAACAAAATGATGAAGAAGGTATGCATCAATTCAGTCAGTCAGAGCCTCTGTCAAAAGTAATTGTCTTTGTTGTGAACAGTACTTATGAAGTTGTGTATCATAGAGAGCAGGGAATACTTAAGGTTTTTGCATTTATTTTATAATGTTGTAAAGCTTCAAAATAGAGCTTTTATTCTTTTCCATGTTCCCCTTAATGTTCCTGTAGACTCAGCATTTTCATCCGTTGTTGTATCTTTTAATTAGGACAAAATGTTTCACTTTTGGGTGAACACCTTCTTCATCCCTGGACCAGAGGAGAACTCGGAGAAGGTGGAAAACGGGAGTTTACTGAAGGACCTGGATGGAATCCAGTGCACAGAGAGGGGGGAAAATGACAAGGATTACCTGATCCTAATTTTAACCAAGAATGACCTGGACAAAGCCAACAAAGATAAAGCCAACAGATTATTTTCCCCAAACTTCAAGGTGAGTTCTTCAAGGATGAAAAAAGGTCCCACAACTTTTAATATGTAGTATTTATGAGTATTAATGTGTATGTGGTATATATGAATTTTAACTACATTACAGGCACTTTTTAAAGCACATCCTAATGTCCATTAGCAATTTTTTTTCACCACAAACTACCACTATTCCTAATGATAATAGTAATAAATCAAGAAAACATACATTGAGTAGAGGTTATATGCAGTATAAATTAGTCAGTGTTTATTATCAGTTCCTCTGTCATTACAGACCACTACTACAGCTGCTAGTGTTTTTGTATACATACACGTTTAAAAAATGTTTGTTCAGTTAAATCAAATAATTAACTTGGTCTAATGCTAAAATCAATATGCAGCATGCAATAGGACCCATTCAAACGTAAACATGATGCAGCAAGAACACTGCATGCTTAGCAGACATACCTGTAATTTAGTTATAGCTTACTTTTTATTAACGTGTGGTATTATTTTAATTTAGGGTGATAGTTAAATTGACCTTTGTGTGATTTAGAATTAGGAAATGGAGTTACTAAACAAATCCACTGAACACAGATTTAACTATTTTTTCCAAAATTGAATCAGCCAAAATTATAATAATAATAACTTTTTATTAAAAGTGTATTTATAGCTAAATTACAGTCATGTCCACTCAGTGTGTGGAGTTCATGCTGAGTCAGGTTTAAATTTGAATGGTTCCTCTTGCATGTAATGCTTTGTTTTTGTTTTTAGCATCAGACTAAGCTGATTTTTATAAAGAATATGTTGGGTAACCAGTCACGGTGTCCAGTGGGTGAAATAAATCTAATCATCAGATGTAAATATTTAGCTGCAGAAAAATGGAAAAATTTATTTGCAGGCCAGATTTAAAGATAAATTGTACATTTATGATGGTCCATATGAAGCCACATCCAGCCCATGCACCAGTAGTTTAAGGCCCCTGCTTTAATTTTTTGAATTCTGAGAATGGTTTGGTGTTTTTCACAGGTGAAGCTGTACTTCACAAAGACAGTGGAGGAGACATCCAACTCAGAGGCCAGCACTTCCACATCTGTAACCCCGGACGTTAGTGACAATGAACCGGACCATTATCGATATTCGGACACAACGGACTCAGACCCAGAAAACGAACAGCTTGATGATGATCAACACACACAGATAACAAAAGTCTGATATATTTTTTTTTTTTTTCCCCCCTCTGGGAAGAAGAAAAAAACTATGTAAAACAGAGTTGTAAAAAGGAGAAAACTTGAATATGAACTGAAAGCAAGTAATTTTTTTGTTTTTCTTGTCCTCCCCCACCCCCCACCTTCCCCACTCCTTATTCTCCCCAACGCTCCCCGTTTTTCCTTTTTCAGAACAGAAAACTAGTACAAAAGTGGGACGTTTGTCATATATGATGCCTCCATTTTAGGGATAATTTTTTTTTTTTTTAAACCCATTTTTAATTACAATGCATTGACACTAACACCTGTGTGTGCACTCGCATGTGGATGGGATGGAAGACGAAGGTTCAGTGACTATTCTCAGCTCCTTGTGAATGCCTTTTTTGTGTCATCACACAGAAAGGAAGTCCAGTCAGGGGATGGAAGGTCAGGTTTGGGGAGATGTTCTGAGAGAATGTGCTGCCTCACTTGCTAACAAGGCCAGTGCTTGAATCAAATGTCAGTCCTCCACGTGTGTGTGCCCTCCTCTTCTGCTCCATGCCTCCTGTCTTACCTACTGTGAAATGCTTCTTGTGCTGTCGCAGGCTAGCCCACCCTACTCCTCCAAAAATACTCATTTAATCAGATGGCTTTATTTTACTCATTTGTCTTGGTGTAAGGACATGTCATTTTAACTGTCTGTTCCCTCTTACCTTGTCCATTGACTGAATTTTTTTTCAAACATTTTTATAAGTTAAAGTAATGAAAATTAATACCACAGCAGGGAATCTGGCATTGCAATAAGGTTAACGCTTTAGTTGCATGCTATTGGAGTTAGTATCCACGTTGTTAATGTTATACAATTTTATTACTACAATTCTTTTTGGTTGTACTTCCTAAGGGGTTCCTGGTCTCATTTAAGAATTTTTACTAGCAGCTGATTTTCCAAATGGCATTCCACATTATCATTGTTTCTCCGGGTGTGATATTGATGGTATGGCTGGAGAGGCCGTCAGTGGCATTATATTTTATGACACATTAGTTCCCCCCTGTGAAACCTGGTGACGTTTTTAAATCATTGTCAAGGACAGGCTCATCTAGGGCTTGTAACTGTTCACTTTTTATGCTTATGATGTCAGTCGTGTGCACACAGGAGAGGTCTGTTCAAAGTTTACGAAGCTGAAGGATATGAGAGATTTTGTTTGTTTCTTCTCATATGGGAATGCTATGCAGCTCAGTCAGATCATGTGTTGGTAAATACGCAAATGCTAGCTTGTGTTTTTGCAGAGATGTGGGTGTTTCTGTATGTGTAGCGAGGGCGTTATTAGTGTCGTGTGGGGAGTTATCTGTTTGAAGAGAAGGTTTAACAGCGTGTCCCTGAAACCTCAAATGCAAGTTTTGATGCCCTATTATGCAGTATACCCCTTCCCCCTTGCCCATATCTTTTCTTTTTTACCTTGATTTTTGTCAGACCTCAGATCTTTGGCTCCTAAATCTGTTTGTAGCCTTATTGTGTGGTCTAATGAAACCTGGACCATTTGTTTATTCAACAGTGGTGCTTACAAACTGCCAAACTACAAACGTACGCAACGAAAAACTTTCGGAGCCAAGAATCTAGACCTCCTGTATGGAGTATTTGTGTGTGCGTGCATCTGTTTAGCCACTATTTCTGTATGATGTGCGATCTGGCTGTCTCTTATACTTCGGTGTCTCTGAGTGGCTGAGATTCCCCCCCCACCTTCATAAACAGGTTTCATTCCTTTTGGAATGACGATAGTGCAGCTACAGAATTTACAGAACGTCTTGTGCTTGCTTCAGACTTATTAAAGCCCTATATATGAGAATATTTAAATATGTATAATTTCTTTTTCAGCATGCTAATTTTTTTTTTTTAATATAAATACACCTGGCTTCTGGTGAATCATGGGGCCAGACAAGAAAAGAAGAAATTAGAAGAAAAAAAAAAAAACCTTTCTCAGTCTCTTGGGCAAGAATCTTCAGAGGGTAGAGAGTAAGCTGCCTTTGTTCTGCTGTTGACATCGTGGCTTCACTCTTCTTGCCGATTCACTGCACATGCTGTACATCTCTCGCCTTCCTCTAGAAAGAATATGTTCGTTCCCGAGGTTTGAAGAGGACACGCTGCCTTCTGTAATGCTACCGTACACTAGCCAACCCAGGAAAGAAAAAAGGACACCCTTCATAATCAAGGATCCTTTTAAAGTTTAGTTTTGTTTTGTTTACATTTTATCACATCACTGAAAACCTGCCAAAAGTAAGCTCAATGTACTTTTTGTTTGTTTGTTTTTTTGCTCCTTTTCTCCATTGTTTTCCTCAGAGGAGGCGGGCCCTACGGGAGGTATCTTTGCCTTACTTGAAGTTGACAATGCTTACTCTGCTCTTGCTTTGAATTCTACCATTCTGCCCAAGCACTGACTTAATAGTACTTATTTAAAACTACTATAATAGAGCAACATATTGTACTAGACTTTTGCACTGTTACAGGTTTTTGCAGGGTTTCAGTCAGCAGTCCACAGTATTTTTATCACTCTTCCCTCTTCTCTCTCCACTTCTTCCTAGAAAAGCCATGCAAGCAATGAAATATGTAGGAGGACAGAGGTGGAATGAAGTGACTTGGTATACTTTTATCCTGATATGTGTGCAACCCTCATAGAATCATGTAGGACTTTTGACTGAAAGCAATTTTTTTTTTAAGGAAACACAAAATGGAAAAAAGAATAAAGTAAATATTTATGACAGTATTCATGCACATTCTGGTTAAGTCCCTCTGCAGGTTTTCTGGTCTTCAGTCCCCTTCTCAAAAATATGCTGTACTACGTCTGGATGTTCCACACTTTTAATGTATGAATCCATTCAAGGGCGTCACTGTTAATGAGCTTACATCAGGTCACAGGCCAACCCTAATACATCTGTAGGGCAAACCTCTTTAGACAATTTAGCCACAGTACCTTAACACATGAAATGCGAACATGGAGGGCATAGACACCTCCTGAAAGCTTAGGCGTCCTTTATGTGGCACGGGTTAAAAACTTGTGTGGAGCTCACAGGCAGCATCAAAAAAAAAAAAGATTTTACGTTTCAGCTTTAATGATTTAAAATAAAAAAAAAAAAAACTAATCTAAAGGTGCCAGTGTGTAAGTTTCATGTCACTAGTTTTTAGCTGATTTTGTGCAATATGCTATGATGCCTGTGGTTGCCACAAAGTGCCTCTTGTTTACTGTAAAAACAAAAAAAGAAGAAAAGAGAAAGAAAAGTGCTTGTTTTAAAAGCTGTTTTAGAACATTTGTCATGCATGTGGATGGACGGGGTGGTAGTGTGCACTAAAATCATCTTGGACTTTATGCACTGCAGAGGGCCCACAGGGTTTTGGCCCATCAGCGCTTTCTTTTTTTTTTTTTTTCTCTACATTTTGCCCATCCACCTTTTCCTTTGGATTCAGTTTGACTTTGGACATAATGCAAACTCCGTATATTTTTAGTCATTTGGAAGGAAAAAAGCAGCCTTATTCCATTTCCGCCTGTTCAGATAATTTTGTGATGTGCAACAGTTGCTCTGTGTGTAATGCTATGCACTGAGAATACACAACCAACGATGTATGAAATATTGTACAGGTTATGTACAGGTTATGATGCTCATACAAATCACATGTTTGTTTGTAATTGTATGTGTAAACTGCCCTTTATCTTAGTGTTATAAGCTCCACATAAATCCAATAAAGTCTCATTCTTGTCATTTTGGTCTAGCTTTATTGGTGAAACGCTGAAGGTTACGGTGACAACGAGTTTACTCTTTCTGCCCGTAATGACATCACTGGCATGGACACTATATGGCTAAATGTTTGCAGACACCTCCTCCTACAATGTTTATTCTGAAATCAAGGTTATGTTGTTTTCTTCTTTTTTGTTTGTTTTTTTATTTTGGCTGCAGCAGTGTCAGCCTCCACTCTTTTGTAAAGGCTTTACACTAGATGTTGGAGGCCACAAAAGCTTGGTGGGGTCAGCTGTTTTTTTTTTTGTTTTTTTTTTCTTCCTGTCTCTCCGCCCCTCAGTTCTGGATCACAAATGCTACTCCATCCCGTCCCAAACATACTGGATGAAGTGCCATCACAGTGAACATAGTTCCACTGCTTCAAAGCCACTGGATGCAGGCTTGGGTGGCTGCTTCAAAGCATCACATTCTATGGACATTCTACAAGCTGTGCCATCAGTAAAGGATTCACTTCAAAGTGGCTTAATGCACCAATTAGAAGAAGATCTGGATGCATTTGGAAATAGTGTATTTGTTATAAAATTGCCACTTGCTGTAAAACTTAAAATTGCTTACACGTAGGTTTTTGGTGTTGAGCATTGTGTGAAACTGTGCTTTGTGATATTTGCATTTCATGCCAAAATTTCACTGAAAGTAACCCTGAGTTCTTTCTCTGTTGACATCTCTGAAAACCCCTCTTGTGCACAATTTACATTATCGATACACAACTGAGAAATATTTACATCAACTTGTAAATAAGCTGCTCTTTGGCTACAACCATTTTTCCCATAAAAATACACTTGAGAGAGATGTTGTAAATCTATAATAATCTGAGGTTTGAAGAACCCATCTGAGCGGAGCCTCAGTGTGCTTGTAGAGCCGGCCTGCAGATGTGTTAATGTTAATGACCTCTGATTTACCGTTCTGCCCCGCTGTCTGTAAATAACAGCATCTCCGCTGGGCCTCGCGGAGCCACAGAGGCTGCGTTTACGTGCCTGTATTCGACAGCTCGGTCCTGAGAAAAAACATTTAGTGCAGTACACTAACCCGTTCGATATGGCTTTGTGGAAGACAATGGAGATAATGTGAAGCTGATGAAAGCTTGAAGTTGCCTTTCAGTCTCATCAGGATCTAATGATAGATTGTGTTCCAGACCTGACTAGATTTCATACAGTCCAACCTCACTGAATGCTCTACAGGAGCAGAGTGGAAGAAAAAGTGAGGTGGCATGAGCAGACTGCTGTTTGAATGCACTCAAGGGCTGGAGCTCACTTCCTTTAAATATTCACCAGACACCTGCTTTTATGGCTTTTAAAAAGCAGCTCAAGACACGTTTTTCCTTGAGCTATTCGTTAGATTTCATTGTGTAGTTTCTACTCTGACTGAACTGCAGAACTGACTCCATGCTTTCCAGCTTTTGGATGGTTTTTCATTGAACTTCTCTGATCTCAGTGGTTCTTAGTGCTTAGTTCAGGTGTGCTTTATCTGAACTCATTATAATTTATTATTGAGGAAGCTACCCAGGAGACAGTGTGGGTGTGGATTTGAAGTTCAGAGCTGTTCCAGTGTTTGTGATGTGGGCTTGAGAGGGAGTCGGCTTCACGTATCCAAAGAGCCATTTTTTGTTGTTTGTTTGCTTACTTTCATCCTCTTGACACTAGGGTGCGGGAAAAACTCGATTCTTAGATGCATCGCGATACGGACGTGAACGATTCTGAATCGATTCACAAATGTCAAAAATCGATTTTCTAAATATTTAATTTATAACGTAATGTTCACGGAACGCAAAAGGCGGATCTTCGAAGTGCGGAAGGGCAGCGCGGCACATAACAAAAACGCTACTGGATGAGTGAGAAATTCGACCGGCTCCCTCTACATTAAAGCCAGGTTAGGTCAGGAGTCACAACCCAAATGATAAGAAGAGCCATTTTGTCCTTTCAACAAAAATCAAACCACTTTGGGAGCCACAACATTTAATGTCCAGTTTGTGTTAATGTCGTAGTATGGGCTAAAAATATGAACGAGAGCGCAGATTTACTTCGCTCTGCTTTAAGCTTTAGCTACAGCCGCTTTCCTCCCATCTCCGCCAGAAAACTTTTCTTCAAAACTAGAAGAGTTTCTTGTAAAATATCTCAGCATCCGGCTATTTCACGAGGCTGAAGTCGCTTCTCATTCGCCAGTTTCTCGTTCTAATTTCCCCGTTCCACCTTAAATTCTGCCTTAGGCGCCGAATGTAACTGCTGCACCATTTAAGGTGGAACGGGAAAATTCGAAAGAGAAGCGAGTTCATTTTCGCAACTTTTTAGAGAAAGACAGTCTCTCAGCAGATTTAACCAACCGCGCTGCTTATAAATGAGAATAAGTCCTCCAAATGTCCGTCTTAATCTCTGTTTTTTTTTAGTTCGCTACTGGCGAGGCCAGACTTCGGTGCTATGTGACCTGCTACCTGCTGTCTGTTCTCAGTCGTTGAGAGCCAGGGCTTTCGCGCTATGCTGCACAGTCTCGAACCTACCCCACACACACACACACACTCTTTACAACGAGACCAAAAACGAAGTTATAAGATCACTGAAGAAAACGGGAAGGATGGCTGTAACGTGCTGCGTGGACAGCCATTACCACTGGGTCTTATTTCAGGGTAACAGCGCATTTTATCGCAGATGAGTGGCAGCAGTGTCTCTGAATGAGAGCCTTTTAGTTCACTTGCCACATCAATTCCGTTTAATTTATTAATAAAAGATGTTTTAGATATTTAAAGCAAAGTGTTTGTAATGATCCATAATGCATTTACATTATGGATCATTACATAATACTTTGCTTTAAAACTACCAAGTCCTCAGACAGTAGGAAGATAGAAATCCTGTATAGAGAAAAAAGATGCATCGAGATGCATTGATAATCGTTTTATAATTGCATCGCAGCCCTCTGAATTGTAATCGAATCGAATCGTGAGGTGCCTAAAGATTACCACCCCTACTTGACACCCTCTATTCGGTAGGCCTGATTCTGCCAATTCCATGCAGTGCAATTTCAATCAAAGTGCATCTAGTGAAACTTCATATCAACACCTGACTTGCTTGGTATGGCACAATGATTGAGAGCCAAATCTAGCATGAATGGTGAGATGTTTGTTGACTCTCACCTGTGTGTAGTTGAGACAGTCTTGGAAGACAGGGCCAATTACATTGCTGCTTGTTAGGATGACGAACATGTGGCCAAAAGCAAATGGACATCTGACCATCACATTTATAATGAGCTTGTTGGACATCTCATTGACCCCCAAAATCATGGGCATTAATACAGAGTCCCATCTGGTCGGTAACATTCTCCTATCATCTACCAAATCCAGATTCATCCATGAGAATGTCAGATAGTGAGGCGTAATTTATCACTCCAGAGAATGCATTTCCACTGCTCCAGAGTCCGGTTACGGCATGGTTTACATCACTCCAGCCAACACTTGGCATGGTGCATAGTGATTTAAGGCTTGTGTGCAGCTGCTCAACCATAAAAACCCAATTCATGAAGTTCCTGATGCACAGTTCTCCTATTCATGTTACTTCCAGAAGCAGTTTGGTACTCTGTAGTGGGTGCTGCAGCAGAGGAAAGGCAATTTTTATATGCTACGGGCTTCAGCATTTGGCAGCCCCGCTCCGAGTTTGCTGGTTTGCTGCTTCATGGCTGAGCTGTTGTTGCTCCTAGATGTTTCCATTTCACAGTAATAGCACTTACAGTTGACTGGGGCAGATCTAGCAGGGCAGCAATTTCACAAACTGACTTGTAGCAAAAGTGATGTCTGTGTTTCTCTAGAATGATGCATTTTGCCTCAAATTAGCCTGAATGACTTTGTTTACATCTTAAATATATAAAAATAAATTGTTGGAATGTAGAGCCCTTTAATCTGGCTCTCATAGCTGAGCTGGGCTAATTGATCAGAATTGATCGCTGCAGAATTCCCATCACTATCTAGAGTTAACATCCCAGCAGAAACCACTTGCCAACTCAAAACTAGCCCGAATGAAGGGTGCTGCTCCATGCTGTTTCCTAGTTCTACCTCCATTTTTCCTGTGAAACGTTCTATGCGAGTCTGACCGGTGAAAGCAGTTTTACCGGATGAAGAGGACTTCACTCTGTCCACCTCAGAACAACCACCTCATTGTGTGAT